AGAACTAATAATGGAAAAAGCCTTTTTCTCTTTTGTATCCAACTTGTTCTGTTTTGGAAGAGTGAAAGGCAATGGGTGGTGAGTTGTTTTCTTATTCTTCATTCTTCCCGTGTTCTGATGTTTTAAATTGTATTTGAGAAAACATGTGATCACCAAGTATTTGTTGTAGAGCTGCCAGATGGCCATGATGAAGATGGGCAGAAATGTGAAAGGGGGGCGATATTTCAACATCAGGAGGAGGGTGTGATGGTGTGTGTGTTTTTTTTCCTCTGCTCTCCGGAAAACTTGGCTGAGTAAAATTATGTTTTTCTATCCGACCGGTGGGATGGATTTTTGAATCCGTGCCTGCCCGGTCTCACACAGCTTCCTGAGCATCCTGCTGGGATTACGGGACAAGTTCTGAGTGTTTTGGGAGCACTCTGAGAGCAGTGCACCTCCTTGAAACCGCGTGTTGCCTTCAGGGGCGACCCCAAGGAGGAAAGTGTTGGGGGGCCGGGAGCCGTGCCTTGCTCCCTGGCACGGTGCCTTGTCCCGGGGCGGCCAGACGACGTCGTGGCCGCGTTCAGGGCCCCTCGGCTTTCTCTTCCTCTTCGTTTCTCGTGCCCTGGCTCCTCCTCCTCCTCCTCCCGGGGCTGCGGGAAGGCGGCCGCTTCGGCGCGCCGCTGCCTGGGGGCGAGGCGGGGCCGTGCCGCTTCCTTAAGGCGGGGAGCGCCCAGCCCAGCCGAGCCGTGCTGAGCCGAGCCGAGCCGGGAGGTAGGTGGGAGCCGGCCGGGAGAGCCGCCAGCCCGGGGCCGGCTTTGTTCGCGTGTCCGGAGCTGCCTCGGGAGGGCGGAGGGGCCGGGAGGAGGGCAGGCGGCTCGGCCCCGAGGTGCTGCTGCCGGGCAGGGCTGCGGGGGGCGCGGGGCAGCCGCTCAGCGGTACGGAAGTTTGGGGGGCGGCGTTGCCAAGTCTGGAGCCCTTCGTGAGTAAGCCCGGAGGCGAGGAGGGACAAAGGCGCCCGGCTGGAGCCGGCTCTGAGAGCAGAGGCTCGGCGGCAGGTGGGGCCGGGGCTGGGGGCGGCTCCGGGGGGCTTCGGGACGCGGGGTGCGAGATGTCCCCGCGGAAAGGGGCGGCAGGGGGCCCGGCTGCGGCAGGCCTTGTGCTGCTGTGGTTTTTCATCGCGCTGCGAAAGTAAATACCGCTTTTTTCCTGTTTCAGAGAAGAGCGCTTTGAGGCTATTTAACAGATTTTTTTTTTTTTTTTTTTGCACGGCTTTAAGTTCAGAATAACACCAACAAAAACCAAGCCTGCCTTATAGCTTAATATACCGCTCTTTTCCCCTTCCATTTATAGGATGTAACTAAATCTGCAGTGTAAAAAAAAAAAAAGTAGGAACAATCAAAAGTTTTTTCTTAATAAATTAAGAGATATCGAAAAGCCATTGGAAAGACATTTTTTAAAGCAGAGAATTTGAGAAGCCAAAGATGGGCAAAGCAGAGCAGGGTGCATCCCGTTACCCAGCACCTCCACGGAGCGCAGCACCCTTGGCCAACTCATCTCCAGGCAAACTGGAAGAAGTGAGCGCACTACTCAAAAATCACGTGGCTGCAGCGAGCTCGAAGCCTGCTCCTGGGCTCCCCCGGCAGCAGGAAAGCAGGCGGCTGTGTCACACGCACAGAGTTCAGCAGCTCCCGGCTGGGTGTGCAGCACCTTGAGCTCCTCTCGCTGGGCTGAGTCCAGAGGAGCGGCTGGGAGCTGTGTCTGAAACTAAACAGAGAGCTGGGGAAGGAGTGGAACCGTTAACAAACCCTGCTGTGTCACTGCGTACCTCTCCCTTGACAGCAAGACCTTGTTTTTGCTGGCAGTTAGGCAGAATGCAGCGCTGGGAGTGGCTTTGCAGTGAACTTGCTGGGATGTCCACAGTGCATTTTTTTAAACGGCAGTTCTGCTACCAAATGTAGAAAGTGTGACCAGAGGGCTCGAGCCCTCCGAAGGGTGCATTCCAAGCCTAATGATTCATGCTTAGGATTCAAAACTGAGACCGCAGGTTTGAAGTACAGTTGCATGTTAGTGTTCCTTGCAACTGCCTTTGCTTGCTGTTTATAAAAACTTGAGGGTAAGGCTTGAGGCAGTAATGAGAAGACAAGTAATTAAACAGGGTCACTAGATTTGATGCTTATTTGAGCTGACAGAGCACAATGGTGTTGCATAGCTGACAGATTAGCAGTTCACTATTAGATAATAATTCTCCAGGGATTTGTACCTCATGGTCACCGCTTCTTTTATTTACTTAAGATGCATTCTGGATGAGTTCAGGCAGGTGAGAGAGCTTGGCACAGGTGTCCAAGCTCCTAGAAACCAGCAATCCTAAGATTCTTTTCCAAGCTAGTAACACAGGTTTTGTGGCATTGCCTGGATCCCATGAAGTCCAGCCGTTTTGAAGCTACTGTGTGAGCTCCTCTACCAGTTCTTGTTCCTTTCCCCGTGGAAAGCAGGTAAACTCAGGGTGCATTTTTCATTTCAGCCTCCTCACACTGGAGGAATTGTAAATCGCTGCTGAGGCAGCCGCAGTAAGAATGGCAACTTGCCATGTAAGTCAGCACTTAAGCAGGACTCTCAGATTTGCATCTTGGTGCATGTAATGAGGTCAGTAGAACAGAACGTAAGAGAAACATAGGTTGTCATACTCATCTGAACTGAGTTTTTTGAATAAGTGGATGAAAAACCTTATAATGCCAATATTTGCCCCATCCTGGAGAGGAATCTCTTTTGAACCACACTGTTCTTTTTTTGATTTGAACTGAAGGGTGGTAGCCCCCATTGCACTGGGCAGGAGAACATTTCAATGTCCGTTCATTTTTAGGGAGCAGATGAGATGTTTAACTTGTTCCACGCTTTCACAGAATCAGGCTTGCTCAATCTAGAATATAATTCCTTGAAAGTATTTGGGAGGATGAAACTGAACTTCTACTGAAAGAGCTCATGGATTTACCTCCCTAATCCTTGAGAGAAAGCTATACAATGTAGGTAAGGTGGTTTTTGTGCTGTTGGCCTTCTGCAAAGCCATGCACAGCTAAAAGAGGCAGTTACGGGGGAGGTGGAAGGGGGAGCAGGGCACAGCCAGGACGTATGAGCTGCTCAGACAAGGGGCTGTCTGCCTGTTCCTGCCTGGCCTCACCAGTGCCAAACAAAATATCTCGCTTCACAGTTTTGTGAAGATTCATGCTCCGCATGAAAATGATTTTAGTCAGATCTGATGAAGTGCCTTTTGAAAAAGCATTGTTGATTTTTCCTCTTTTTCTATCAATATTTTTTATTGGTGGCTATTCCCAACATTCCTGGCAAATTAAGAGGAATAATCCCCTGTGCTCCTTGTTGCCTTTCTTTGAATTTTGATGGGATTTTGGGTAACTGCTCGCATCACTTTACTGTACGTATGGCTGCTTTTTTTTTTTTTTTTTTTTTTTTTTTTTTGCGTGTAGATGTTTTTCTGGTGCCAGCCAGAGAAAGATTGAATAGTATTTTCAAAATGAAAACAAAAAAGCTGATGCAGGGCTTGGAGAGGAAGGAGTATGTTTTGAGTACATTCAACTGATCTTAAATTTGCCATCTTCCAATTAACTGTTTTTGTTGTTGTTGTTGTTGTTTATAAATGCAGTTGTTAAAATTCAGCTTGAACAACAGAATAAACACAGGCTTTGGAACTTCCTGTGATTTAGGATATGATGTAACTGTTTTCTTTTTGAAAACAAATACTTTCATACAGGCATTCCAGAGGTGTTTCTTGGGAATATCTGTAATATTTAGAGTTGAAGGCCAATCATAATACATGATTCGTGTTGGAATATTTTGCTTTCAAGGCCTGGGTGGGAAGCCTTCAGCTAGTTATTTCTAGATTTTCGTGCTGTCCCTCCCTTTTCTCCTGCCTTATCCCTAATAAAATATATCCCTTTCCCTTACATCAGAGCACCAGTGTTCTTTTTGATCTACTCTCTAAGGCATACAGCTTTCACTGTGTTTAGAGAACTTTGGAAAGAAGGATATAACAACATATATATGTTTCTTTTTTTAACCCAGTCTTTAACAGGAAGAAAAAAAAAAGAGAGAGAAATTGATAGCCACTACAAAGTTAGCCTCTAAACTATTCTGAGTATTTGGTTTAATCTTGAGGTGAGACATAGCTAGCTCACTTCCCCTTTCTAAACCATGGGTCCTGTTTCAATCTGCTTTACCAGTCCAAATCCAGACAAGAGGAGGTGCAGATAGGTTTGAGATGCAGTCCTGCAGGGTCAAAGAGGGAATTTTTTCTGCTTGTTCAGATTGCTGAGGTAGAAATACTGTAGCCCTTTGTCTTTATCAAACAAAACAAACAACAACAGCAACAAAATAACTTCCTTTCCACATGTTTTGCATTTTAGTTCTACCGGATGTAAGAACTGTGATGGTACGACAGGCACATTAAAAACATGTTAACATTTCTTTTATAACTCATTCACAAGCTGGCCCTAGAGCTGGCTTATTTCATTCACTAAGTATCTATCTATTAGTAGAAGAATGTCCTTTACCTGTTCCCTAAGTGAGTCTTTTGAGATGGGAAGAGGTTCCAGGAGATGGATGTTGATGTCTGGCACGAGTTCGTGAAATGGGAAGATGTTCCTTTCCTCTCTGTTTGCTTCCCAAGCTGGACATTAAGAGCAGGAAAGGATTTTTGGTGCCCAGTAGTCTGGAACTGCCTAAGCTGCAGCTGCTGCACTGCAGAATTGAAGCTGGGAATTATCTCCTCCTCTTCTCCGCCCCACTCCTCCTCCCAGCCTCAGATTCAGACTGGCTCTGGGGTTAGCTGTGTGAGGCCGGCTGGCTGCTCGTCTGACTGGTGCATCGGTGCTCAGCAGCCTGAGACTGCAGGGAGTTCTTTGGAGAACTGAGTTTCGATGGCGACCAGGACTAGGGAGAAACAAGGACTGCTTATACGGAGAGCTTGTTTTTGTCTTGTGCAGAGTCGTCTTTGTAGCGGGATGTTGAAATATGACACAATGCCTGTTTGTTTGCAATAGCTGCAAGCCTCGTAGCAGAGATTCAAGTGGGAAACAGAGGGAGACCAGCGGGGGAATTAGAAACTGTGACGTCGTGTCCTCCCTCCTGTGCCGGAGCAAGCAAAGAAAGGAGAGGTAGAGGAAAAAAGACTGAGCCTTGCAACCAACCATCACCTTGGCGATGTGTCAGTCAAACACCCTGCAGGGACCAGATCTGCATACAGGGAAATGGTGAGATGCTATAAAGCTTTATCTAACCCTCCGCCCTCGTGCTACAACCTCCACAAAGTTAAAATTCATGTCCGGAGGCTGCGTTCAGGGAACGGCGGCAGCAGCAGCTGTGCCGGGGACCAGCACTCACAACTGGACAGTCCAGGCCCGGCTGGCTCTGCCGGTGGTACACCAAATAGGAGAACTCGTTTCAGGTACTGTTTGGTGTTTTCTGCTTTGTGAGAATGGTGACTGAACGGAGAAACGAGGGGAGGGAGGACGGGAAGGTTTCTGGGCAGAAGGAGCGACAGCCATCTGCAAAGCTTTTGTTTGGCCTAATTACTATAAAGCTCCTTATGCATTGAATTGGCAGAGAAGGGCATGCTGTTATATGACAAGGGGAACAAGGAGAGGTTTTTTCTTTTCCTTTCCCCTGTTCTCCATCACTAGGAGAACAGAAAAAATAGCGAAGGGACTGCTCTGAAACCAGGCCAAGGCAGTGTGAAGCCTGAGGGCTCTGGAGCGAGCTGCCAGGATGCAGCTCTGCCGGGATTGGTCCAGGAGCGACTGCAGTGAAGGGGGGGAGAGCAGCGGCAGGGGGAGCGGCACCTCGGCGTGGTACTGCCAACACGGGTCTGGCCCTGCCAGCCCTCGAGCAGACCGCAGGCTCACGGGTGGCGAGGACGGGAGGAAGAACATGAAGTGCTCCTTCCTATTCCCATGTTGAGTCAGCCCCACCTCCTGCTGAGAAAGCCGGCTTTATCTCTGCTGAGACAGCACTTCATCTCCTTAGGTGTTCGTTGTTGGTTGTTTTTTTGTTTTTTTTTTTTCCTTCTTGCATTGCGATGCGTAGGTAATTCTTTGTTTTTTACATATTAATTTTTGGGGGAGAAAAAAGTTGTGTTTGCTACAGGGAGAATCCCTGAGCCAAAAGCACCATCTTGTATCCCAAAGTTGTGACAGTTGTACCTGGCTGTGTGTTTTTTTTAATTCTGATCCAAGTTTTGAAAAGAACGTATTGGCAAGAAAATTTCCCTTTTAGTTTGTCAGAAGACTTGAATATTCTGCCCTCAGGTAGGCATTGGGGTCCTGGAGAGCCTCTCATGCAGATCTCCTACAAGGATCTGAACTGAGACACATGATTACCTCTGCTAATAAGAGGAACAATTTTTTTTTTCCCCTTGGAGAGTTACAAGTTCAAATACTGCCTACAGCCATTTGTACAAAATGAGTTTGCTTTCAGTCAGGACATCCACATAAACAACTGCACTGATGATTTTTTTGTAATGAGGCAAAGGCATGATTGGGCTACAGAGACGAGATAATCTTGCAGCACTAGCAATATCAGCTTTGTTGCACATGTTCTGTGTTCAGCGCCAAGGGTACCCAGTAAAAGACTTAAGACCTGGAAAGATGTCTTTTGGAATCAGTTACTTAAGCATTGTATTAATTAACACAGGAGTGCCACTCCTGTTGTTTCCCAAGTAAGTGCTTGTTTCTTGAAGTCAGTTAATGGCCAACAGGTCCATGTAAATTTGACTCCAATATTTTTTGTGTTACAAAATACAACCTAAGATACAATCTAGTCAAGATGTCTTCAACACAACGAACCCTCCAAGGGAAGTCAATTGCTTAGATTTCAAGGACTTCTTTAATCAGAGTATCTGCTCATTCCTTAATGTTGCTTATCCATAAAGTTCTGGGATTTAATGTCCCAGCATCACAAGAGTCCTGGCTTTCAGGGCACTGTTTGCTGTCCGCTTCGACTATCTAAGATCCAGAACAGTCAGAAGCAACATTTTCTGCGGATGTAATGTGACATTTTGGAAGAAAAACCTTTGCTCTCTGTTATTTGCATTGTAAACTATCGTGTTGTGTTGTTAGTTGGATGAAGGATATTGTTGGTTGGGTTTGTTTTTGAGGTAAACCGGTTTTCTATTTTGGGAAGGGGAAGAACTTGCCAAAATAAAGGAGTATGGACTTGCAGAATTGATCTACACTTAAGGATGAGCAGGATTAAATCATCCCCAGCTATCAGAAGCTGGCAGTTCTGAGGCTGAGATGGCTGACCCTCTTATGTTGTGTATGTAATCTTTCAGGTTGCAATTTCCCCAGCTGGCCCTGAGGCGAAGGTTGGGCCAGCTAAGCTGTATGTCTAGGCCTGCTCTGAAACTCCGTTCTTGGCCTCTGACTATTCTCTATTACCTTCTGCCTTTCGGTGCTCTTAAGCCCTTGACCAGAGTGGGATGGAGGCCTGTGAGCAGGGTAAGTGTGAGCAGATCTCTTCTGCTTCATGTATGTTAGCTGTATGATACTGAAAGGCGCTGGCAGCAGCTGGGTGGAAAGATATTTAATATAGAACAGGCTGATGATCACTAGCATGAAAGCAGAGAGGTGCAATTCACCGTTTCCCTTTAGTTTTTACTGTTTATAATTGTTGTGTCTAATTGCTTCACAGATAAGTAATTTTTTGTTAGTGGAGAATTTTTGTCCTCTAATGGCCAAGGTTTACCCTGAAAAAATTACAGAAATATTTTAGTTTATTCAGTCACCTCAAACTGTCAGGGCTAAGATAAGACAGACCAAACTGCTTGTCCAGTTCCCTTTCCTGGCCACACTGAAATGGTCTCTTGCCTCTTTTGTAAAGAGAGGGTTTGTTCCTCAAGTTCTTTGAGCATTCAGTCCAGCCTGTCCAAATGATAGATTAATATAAATCTCCGCTCTGACACTATTGTGTAGTGTGTAAGAAATTGTGTGAGTGGATATTCTCTTTAACTATCATGTGATTGCAGAATGCAACGACCACATTAACATTTTGATTGAAAACTGTAACAGAATCACAGTTCTCAAGATTATTTCCTTTAAATACCCTGTTCTGTTTGATCCTGCCAACTTGAAAACCAGATGCTTTTCAAGAGGAGGACTACTAGGAAATATTGACGTTTTTTGTGACATTACAGTTGTACCTGTATATTCTCTGTGTTTGTGGAAAACTGCAAAACTGATTTTAGAAATTAACACTGTATGAGGCACGTCAAATAAAATGGCAAAACATTTTTTCTTCAGTACTTCAGATTATATAACCAAAGGCACTGTTGATTTAGAAGTTTTTATCTGAATTAAGATTAGGTTGATCATTTCTTCCTGAAATATCACTGTATTTTAATGCAGGATGGTGATTTCTGAGTAAAATCTTAATTCACTGTGTTTGATAGGATGGACAAGCTTTCAGGCAGCATGCACTTGTTTGTGTTTATGGCTATATTCTGCAAGACCTAACAATGAAGGATATGATTAACACTGAGAATAAATGATGAGCCTTGCTAAGGAGAAAAGAGAAACATATATAAAGAACTTGGAAGTTAAATGTAGCTGAGTTGCACTGTTTGAAAGATTGTACTAGATTCAGCAGATTACTACTTATTCAAAACTGATAAGGTTCAGTTCCACTGCTACCTCCCACATGATCATGCAAGCTTTTGGGCTGATGCTAAGTACCACAGACCTCAGAAATGCTACCTGCTGGAATTACCAACAGGAAAAAGCTGTCCTCTGTCCAATTACATCAGTATTATATATAACTCTTACCAACATTGTTTCATTTGTTTATTCTCGTTACTAAAACGTATGCTTTGATGCAAGTCCAAAGGTAAACATATTTTTGCTGGAATAAACTTTATTCTTGCAATTAGCAACTCCCATTGTTGCAAAAGAATGAGTAAGGCCGGCAGAAGTTTATATCAGGTTAGGTGCATACACATGGGTTGGGTATTTTTCTTCAATTATACAAGTATCATTAGAGATACTGGGATGTAGAAAATACCTTCATTAGTAGATATATCTGAGAATTGTGTTATCAAATACCGAGAAATTATTTTTCTCTCAGTTTTCATTTGGTGGTTCATAGAGGAATATTGGTAATGTTATGCTCTTCTGATAAGTATTCTACTAGCACATGTATTTTTCTGTAAGCCTCACATTGGGCAGTTTCCAGTAATTTGAATCACAAGCTTCTGCCTGCTAGGGAATAAAGTTTCTGGCTTCAACATAAGGTTATAGTAAATTTCATCCTATCCCTTATTTGCTCTCATCACAGTGCAGGGAGTGAGGATGTAAGTGCGATGTTGATTTTTTGCTGACTTAAAAGCTACTTCACGTGTGCTAAGGGAGTGTTTAGCAGAACAGCTTGATCCTGTTTTGTTTTATGTGAAGAAATGAGAGAAAACCATCAATGGGAAGAACTGAAGGACATCCTGTTAATTCTTTCTTCAGGTTGCTCTGTACAAATCGGTACCAACTCGACTGCTCTCACGAGCATGGGGTCGCCTGAACCAGGTGGAGCTGCCTACATGGCTTCGGAAGCCTGTTTACAGCCTGTACATTTGGACATTCGGAGTAAACATGAAGGAGGCAGCTGTTGAAGATCTGCATCACTATAGAAACCTCAGTGAATTCTTTCGCAGGAAGCTGAAACCACAAGCACGGCCAGTCTGCTGTTTGCACAGTGTGGTGAGTGAAGGGAAATGAAGGCTTAACACTACGCTACCAGCTGCCGTGTTTCCACCAGAGAAAAATGTCTGCCTGCTCTGATGGATGGAAGGATGAGGAATGCATGAATTCCTAATGCATTTCTTTTCTTCTTTTCTGTAGATCAGCCCCTCTGATGGAAAGATCCTTAATTTTGGACAAGTAAAGAACTGTGAAGTGGAGCAAGTAAAAGGGGTTACTTATTCACTGGAATCTTTCTTGGGACCTCGCATCAGCACAGAGGACTTGCATTTTAGGGAGGGTAAGTTTTGATCAGTTGCACCTGTTCTGCTTGGTCCATTACAGTGTTCTCAGAGATCAAGACAAAATACTTTCTCCCCCCCCTCACATTTCCTGGAACAAAAGCAGTTCTCATTTTTGTTCTATTTGGGGATAAACATGTCACTGTTACAGTTCTGGTTGTGCATGGGTAGCATTATACTGTCTGTTTTGTTCTGATTCATCCAGTTAGACTGCTTAGTTACTTTTTATGTGGTTATATTAACAATTACAACTGATTCCAAGGTCTGCTGCTGTAACAATGCTACAGCTTTCCTGCTGACAGACTGAAATGTGCCTGAGCACCTGGTTAGCAAAGACCGTACAAGCTGTTCTGTAACATGTTTTGTGCACGAGCACTATACTCCATTGACTTGTGTTGTTACCACTTCTGCTGCGTCTTGAGCAAGGCTCAAGGCTTTGAGCTTTGATGAGAGAAACATGTTTTGCTAAACTGGAGGGGGGAATAGAAAGACCAGGTTCTGCAAACAGTTATTTTCAACATGAGCACAAATGCAACTACTTTATTAAATAAGCCTATGACCTTTTCACAAATTCTGTTCTCAAAAGGGTAGCTTTAAGAAAAATTTGGTGTTAAGTGGATTTCAGTTTCTGCTGCTCTATTTAGGGAAAAGTAAACTCCAAACCAAATGAATATCTAAAATGATCGAAAGAGTACAGGCTTCCTTTGTTTTAAAGAGAAAAGAATACTTTGAAATAATGGATTCCTGGGTTTAAGGGTATCTTTTTCTAGTCTTACTGAAGTATGTAGACTGCATTTAGTCCTCTGTTTTTAGCACAGTTTCTAATGTAGAGTGCTCAGCTATGGTAAATAATGGCCATAGAGTATCTTTAACCCCATTTTTTCCATGGTTTCTTTGCAGCCTCACCTGGTAACTCCTTTCAGCAACAGCTAGTCACAAAGGAGGGGAATGAGCTCTATCATTGTGTAATCTACCTTGCACCAGGGGACTACCACTGCTTCCACTCGCCCACTGACTGGAAGGTGTCACACCGACGTCATTTTCCAGGTTGGTTTCTGTTCCTAGAAAATAAATGGATGGAAGTAATGCTGTAGGCCACTGCTGAATGAGACCTGCTAGCAGAACACTTGTACCTGATGGATAATGGGAGCATAGTGATTTGTCATATGTGTTTATGAATAGGTAATATAGTTTAACAGAACAAATCACATGGGAATGGTGAAAGAAGTAATATTCTATTCAGGCTGTCCTAATTCCTTCAAATAATTGTCGATGGAGGCTGACCTGACTTGTTCCCAGAAAAACGAAAAAAAAAGTTCAGTTTGCATCTGAAATATAGTTCTGCAAGTTAGAGTAAACAGTAGCCTTAAATATGATCTCTATTCCTGAGCTTTGAAAATCTTCCTGTAATAACTTTTATTTTTCAACTGATTGATGTTAATAGTATTTCCTGGTCAGTTCTAGGTAGCTAAAAGGCTTTCTTCTGCAGTTTTAGTAACTACTTTTGTGCAGTTACCAAAGAGAACTGAAGGGCCTGCTCTCAGGCACTGGCTAGTTACCAGTGAAAACACATTCCTAAGCTGTAAGAAGGCATTTGGCTTCCTTTTAGTAGCCTGTAACCTTTAATGTGACATGTTAGATGTATCTTAAGTGGTTACTTGAAGGCTTCTTTCAATTCTGTCTCTTACGGCTGAGACTACGGACTAGTTCTTAAGGTCCTGACCCTAATCTCTCTTTATCAGATGACAATTAGCAGTAGTCATCATCTGTGAATAGATGAAACTGAGATGAAGTTGGCTGGATCTTTGGTAGAGGAATAACATGAGATACTAAGTCCCTTCACCTCCTTTTGGTAACAGAGAAGTAGGTATGCCTGATGCGGGAATAAGCCTCAACAATGGCAGATATTTTGAAAGGGACTCTTAAGTGCAGCTTTTGCTCCTTATTTTAAAGGCAGGCCTCCACTGTTTGGAAACAGTCAAAGTGAAAGCTGTAGAAGGGAATAAGTGAAAGCCAGGGAGCAGAGGTAACAGGTCAGCCTGAAAAGAACAGTTTCTGGTTATGAAAATTTAAATCCTTTTTTCTCTAATAGGGAAAATTGTCAGTAGTGCTCCAGATTGTATTCGAGCCCTGCAGCAAAGGATAAGAATGGTCTTTGGTTTCCTAGTGACTTTGCTAGGAGAAATATAAAATCATATGAGCCATTCCTGAGCAATGTTGATCTTTCTGCAACCTTTTTATTTTCACTATAGCCTTGTTTTGTAATTGCTATGCCTGAATTTCTCTCTTCCCACAAATACGTGACAGAATTGCTTACTGGATCATCTACAGTTATACTGAAAATACCATTCAGATAACATTACAATACTGCTACAAGACAGACAATTGAGTTTGAATGTTTTCTTGCTGTTGCAGGCTCTCTGATGTCTGTGAATCCTGGAGTTGCTCGCTGGATCAAGGAACTGTTCTGCCACAATGAACGGGTTGTCCTTACAGGTGACTGGAAACATGGATTCTTCTCTTTAACAGCTGTAGGGGCAACAAACGTGGGCTCTATCCGCATCTACTTTGACCAGGTGAGTAAAACAATAGTAGACAGCTTTCTGGTTTTGATGTTTGAGGTTCGTGAAGCAGAATGGAAAAATAGTAATCTTGTGAGCCTGAAATTAAGGTGTTTCACAGCCGTTGATGTTCCATGCTGATGATATGTTTTAAGATTGATTCTCAGGGAATCATGTGCAGTATCAACTTTTTTTAAATATTACTATTGCACTTTTTGAATTGTAAGGTCCTGCACTGAAAATGCCTGGATAACCAGAGTCTGCAGTTGTGCTAATGAATACAGAGTACTGAAATCCTCAACTAACAGTTTCTTCCTTGTCTGTACAGGACCTGCATACCAACAGTCCCTTTTATTCAAAAGGTTCCTACAATGACTTCAGCTTCGTATCCAACAACAACAAGGAGGGAATACCCATGAGGAAAGGAGAACATTTAGGGGAATTTAATCTAGGTTCTACTATTGTACTCATCTTTGAGGCACCTAAGGACTTCAAATTCCACCTCAAAGCTGGACAGAAAATCCGCTTTGGAGAAGCCCTTGGCTCTCTATAGAAACTCTCGCAGCAAGAAGGTTTTATATGCAAAGGGACTTTTATCACATCACAGAGTTTCACTTAACAAGTGTATATCACTCAGCAGGACCTGGGTGAGAAAAATGGAAGATGTCATTGCTATGTTCAACTTTGAGAGTATTTGGCCTATATTTACCTATTGCTGCTGAATGCAGAAAGAGAATTGAATGAACATGTATGTATCAGGTACTGCTGCCTTTAAAGATCTTGACTATGGAGGTTTCTGTCCTACCCTGTGCCTGTAGTCTGATGTTCTCCCCCTCAATGTGCCACAGGATATCTATGTTCACAGAACTTAAAACTCCCTTTCTAGCCTTCCTAGACCATGCAGGTGCAATGGGGAAGGGTAGAAGTAGAGATTAGGTTTATTAAAGGGACATTAAGAAGTTGAGTCAGACCTCGTACCTTAGATCTGCTGTATTTCTTTTTCAGACCTTGAGTAACAAATATATTCTCATCTTTATTCTAAAACACTTCTCTGAAGTCCTTGTATAAAACACATGGAGAGCCATTAACTAGTCCAGTTAAATGGACTATTATGGCTTCACAGTCCAAACTAAGCAAAATGCACAGACTGCATCAGAAAAGTAAGTTATACATCCAATTTATTTCCTAACATTAAACAACTTTAATTCTTTTACTTAACAACATCCCTTGAAAAATGGACTTTGCACTGCATTTTAAACCTGGAACCACTGTGTCTACATTCCATACAATGAAACTGGTGATAGTGGATTTTTTTTAATATTAGCTGACAGGTCCATATGTCCTGTTCCTAATGACCATGCTTTTATTTTGCTATTCCAGGCCTTAACAATCTTGTTTTTATTTAAGAAAGAGTTCACCTCTTGAATTAAGGGTTGGAAGACACAGAGGATGTTTCTCATGTGATGCTATGTATCTTCAGTGTTGCTTTGTCATTAAATTATTGAAGAATAGTTCCTCTATTTATAGGGCAGTTTCAGATACTTCAGGACCAATTTTAACGCATGGAGTGCAATACCATACATACTGACAGTACATTACAAAGAGCAGCTCTTGGAAGCAATCCCAGGTTGCCTCCCTGGTGCCAACTTGGCCATCCTATAATGCACTGGCACCTATTTTGTCTTATCTAAAATATAAAAAGCCACTCCTACTCTGACTTCTGTCCTCAGACTAATTTTGCTAGGACTGTGCAGGGGCCTGAGAGCTTTATGCTGGAGCTTCATCCTACAGCAGAACTTCAGAGCCTCACGGTAACTTAACATCAAGAAGAGTTAACAAAACACCTTGGATCTCTTGAGCACGGCACCAAAAGCCCTGACCCTGGTGCCAAAGTAAAGAAGAAGAACTCTGTTTTAAAGCAATGTATCAATTATTTTTAGAAAATAAACTGTTTCAAGTCCAGCCGCTCAAACATTTTGAGTTGACATTGCTGTCCAGCGCTTGTGGGAGTGGACATGCTTATAAAACTTGCCTTTTTGATCTCTGAAGGATTTCTCATACTACTTTCTTGCTTGAGCCTTGGGTGTTTTTTCTGCTACTTCAAGGAGATAGTAGGCTTTGATCAGCTGTGACTTCTTTAAGAAAAACTTACCTTCTTTGTATGCACTGCAGAAAATAGAATATAATTTTATTGTACAAATGTCCAGTTTGCCAAGTCCTGTATGCTTAGCTTGTCATCAGGAATGAAAGGATGATGAACTGTATGTAGCAACGTAGTCCAGCCATGACTCTAAGATGATGGTGGCTGCTCAGGTGACAAGCAGGAGAAAATTCATTTGGCTCTGAGAGTCAATGTTTCCTCACTTAACATGGGGAGGAGTTTGAAAGCTTGAAGTGGCTGTTCGCCACCTATCTTGTTAAAATTCTTGGCAGTAGCAAGTTTACTCCTGCAGCAGTATATTACCACATATAGGTTTCTAGAAATGTGCACTTTTAAACCACTGAGAGTAAGAAATACTAAGGCAAACATCAGCCACAGAGGATTCAACTGTGACTAGCCTCAACTTCAAAGACATATTTATAGCAGACAACAACTTAGTTCCAGTGGATGAGAGAAGAGATAATCTCTTCTCCCTTCTCCACTGGGGCCTATGGCATCCAGATGTAGCCAAAGCAACTTTAAGCTTTAATTTCTTGCTACTCAGCATCATCTGCAGGATCTGAAGGTTACTGTTATTCAGTAATGGAGGATGTATTAAAACAAACATCTGGTAACCTAAGTCTAAGAAGTGGGAGAGGATTCAGCAATGCAAGTAGCTGGTTTTGTGAAGGTCTTAATACTGTGCAGAGCTAGCTGATTAACAAACATTACTTGTGCAGTGATCAGCAATTGCTCTGGAGCTGGAAGCAAAGTTCATAGAGGGTACTGATAATGCTGTGAATTTCTCCTGCATGGAGAATCCATTGAATTCTTCAACTGTATCAGTAGCACGGTATTTTTGTATGTCAAAGTGTATGACTAAATGACATTAACTCATTTAATTGCAAACATTTTGAAATAAAGAGTCTTATCTGTGTTGCTTATCTTTCTGAAATGTCAGGGTAACCTAAACTAGGTATTGTGAGTGCAGCATGAGGTATGTTTAGCTCCTGATTTGTTTGTTTGTTTTTTTTTTTTAACCAGCTATGGTCAAAATAAAACAAGCAAGAGTATTTAAATTAATTTATAAAATAAAAATACCATACGTGGACTAAGAGAATGTATACATCTCTTCCATACCCCCCTGCTATGAAAGGGGTAAGAACTGAAGACATTCCTACCCATCAGCTGGAAGATTGGTTCACGTGAATTACATATCCAGGGCAATCTGAATGTCATGCAGGCGGGCAACCATGTTCTGCACATGACGTCTCTCTTCTTGTTGTGCTTTGGTTAGAGTGTTGATCCTCAACTCCAACTGAATGTAAAGAAAACTGCATAAGGTGTTTGTACAAGATACTGTTTAGTCTCTTTGACTGAGGAAGCCTTTATGTTATCCTTATTAAAAACCATCAAGTAACAGGATTGCATCACTCATAACCAGTTAAGTACAGTCAGTTTAGAGGTCTAAGTACAGTACACACACAGACAGCTGTATGAACTTGGGACCTGACAACAGTATGGATGCAGCGTAGTTTAGTTACATTGATATGAGAGCCCACAGAAAGGTTTAAGACTTAATTAATTAAGCTGTCTATGTAGCTTGAAGCAAATCTTACATCGACTGGAGCTGCAGCTACATATCTGAACAAGTAGGAAGATGCATCTACATAGCAGTCTTTGTTCCACTTGACAGCCCACTTCTGATTACAAGTTTCTCTTCTCTTGATTTTGCTAATACCTTACTGCTGATTTCCCACAACTACCACCACACTTCAGGCTAAGCACATAGCATAGTGATAATCACTTAAGTAACTTGAATTTGTTTGCTGTTTACCCACCTGATCCAATTCTTCCCGAACTTTTTGTACACTGTCTTGGTCCTCTAGTTGTGTACTCATTTCTAGCCACTTATATAGAATCCGTGCCTGCTGCTGACAGGACCTGATAAGAGGGATTAGAAGGATTTGTATCCCAATTAGGAGCTCAAGTGTAAGTGTAAGACAACTTAGACATGCTACTGATGCTTGCAATAAGACACTTTTGTTTGTTTCAAAACAGTGAGTCAAGTCTAAAAAGGGAAAAGGATGCTGAAAGGTGTAAAAATCTGTATGAAAGCCCTTGTCTTCACATCCTACTCTTGACAGTTAAAACCCTTCAAGCCCAATTCTCTTCCAACCATTTTTGTGAATTTGTTGTTCTACTGGAGAAGTAATCTGTTATCAAACCCTAGCCACATTTTTTTATTATTATTTTTTTGGAACTGACAGTTTAAAAAGCTAAGTCTTCACACCTCATGGTAAAAGAGCTGAAAGGTAAATTTCAGCTGCTCTGCCAAATTCATTTGCATTGCCTTCAGACTATGCCCAGTGACACTCCTGTCAAGGTTTCTCCAGTAGCTGCCAAAGGTATAATTAAACCAGTTGCTGCTTACACAAGTTCTGCATGTACCCTCTCTCTCACCTGGAGTGAACTATTAAAAGGACAGAATTCTTCTCCATTTAATTCACAGTTCTGCTGTGAAAAAGAACAGTTTTCAAAGTACAAAGAATTCACACAAAGTGCAATATTGTGTGGACAGCATGAAGAAAGGCTGGCTATAGGGACTTTGTAACATACTTGAGTTCTTGCTTCCTGCTGAAGTAGTACTGCATTTGCTGTTGAATGTGTCGGAGCTCTGCTTCCAGCTGTCTCTGGAATGTTTCTTCTTTGGTACTGTGCTCCCTCCTTTCTTCCCATTCAGCTGAACAGAAGATGAAAAGCACAAGCAAGGAAAGTAAACTTACTCTGTTTCTTCTTATCAGGGAAAGTCAGGTTAGTAGGCAGGAAACATGGAACCCTCTTGATTTTTTTTTCCCATTCTGTCACCACGTGGTACCTACCTGTTCACACAATAGATGAGGTATAGTGAGAGAGCAGGTGTCCTGACAGCATTGCAGGTTTTCAAGACCAGTTTAAACACACCCAAGATGAGAAATGCTCTAGTCAATGGTTTAGACTGCAAATGCTGTTTTCAATCTAGTGTTTCACATCTGCTCTATAAGTCTGGCCTCATGAAAAACTTTAATGCCCTTTGCATCCTGAAAGATGCTGCATAGAGGGATGCTTAGACATCATCTATCCCCTGTAAGTTTTCCCAGCAATTACAGTACTGGGTTAATTTTTCCCTCCCCAAGAGAGTTCAGCTCCATATTCTTGCCATGTGTACATGAATGCCTCAGCACTAGAGCATACCATTGTTAAAATCCTGACCCCTACTAGTTCCCATCCCTCAATCCCCAAAACGGGGCTTTAGTCCCCTGCATCAATAGGGTCCACACAACCGTATTGCCAATCCAAATCCAAAATAAATGACTGATTCTTCACCTCCTGATGTAAGCATACAAGAATCCCTTGTCTCCCCTGTGTTTTGGGGAGTTGACTTGCAGCCCTGCATATATTGGAGGAGGACACACAACTGCTGCAGCTTACAGCTGAGGACCTACCTGCATTTTGGTGACTCTGTTTTCCAACTAAGTCTTCAGGTGACAGCAACTGTGACTTTAAGTTTGATCGCAACTTCTCCAACTCTTCTCTCTGTTGACAGCCTTGGGAATGGGCTCCTGTGTGACCATGCACAGGCTGACCTCCCCTCTGCAAAATCAGAATGATATTTTGTTCCTCAAAGGAGCACCTGACCCAAGCTACTAAGCCCTGCTCACACCAAGACATCACCTGTAGTTGCTGAGCCTCTCTCACAAGCACTGCTGCTTCTGTGATATTTCAAGAAATGAGCTTTCTTTTCTAGCAGGACGATATTTCATCTAGAATAACACCTCCTTTTCTGCGTGGAACAGAGGAGTTCGAAATGCAAGCACCTACGTGCAGGTAAAGTGATTTTCAGTTTTTGAGACTCTCAGATATTGTCAATGCTCCTAAACTGTGTTACTCTTAAATCCCTATAATCTGGTTGATAAACTGTAACTGCTCTGAACTTGTAGAAGGAGCTGCACTCAAATCATTTTCTAGGAGGAACATCCTACTGGCAAGGACACAAAACCATTAAAAAGGCATGAATTACAGTACAAAACATACAGGTTGGCCAGCAAGTGAAATATTGCTTTAGACTGTTGGAAAAAAATTCTTGAGCATGAGGAGACAGTTCATTTAATCAGCTTCTAACTGGTACAAGAAAAAAATAGCTCAACAGCTGGATGAGCAGTTCTGAGGAGTCGTAGGAAGAAACAGCAATAAGCAGCATGTGGGCTGACAGGAGCACAGTAAACACACTAGTTTTTCCTTCACCAATACACTCACCATTTCTGACCCAGCTTTCTCTTGGGGCATAAAAAATGAAGGAGACTGTAGCTTTGGCTTCTGAACAGCACAGTGCACATCACGTGTCCACAACGGTACAGATGGGAGAGCAGTGTGTGTCAGAGATGAGTTGGAATGAGTGGTACTGCCCATCTGAGAAAGCCATTTACAGGTGCTTTCTTCCGTTTCAGTTGTTGGCATTAAGTTCCCACTCTGAGAAGAACATTTGTTCCCATCTGTTTGCTGAAAAGGTGTCCCTGATCTGTTAAGGGAAAAGGAATGCACCTGTACATTTCAACTTACTTTTATACTTCACAGTCGGTGAGGGGAAAACAATTAAAAAGGAAGAATCTTGCTGTTCTCTTGCACATTGAAATAAGGTCCTGTCTTGTGGGGGAGCTAGCTGGTTTCCTAAACCACCAGTACTATTAAAAACAGATTCTCTACCTTGAAAAAGGAGTTCCCAGCAGCTCCTTGTTTTCTAGAGATTCCAGAAGGAAGTTAGGTCTTTGTGGTTGTAATCTTGCCTGTTGTACAGCCTTCCTGAAAAGAACAAACAAAACCAGTGATGACATAGATTCATAATTACTTTAAATTGGTATAAGCTGGCACTGCAGCTAAAGAAGCACTTTTATTCTGTCATTCTACCCCACCCTGCAACATTGCCCTTGCATGCAATAACTTTTAAAGATTAGATTTCAACCTGTATCAATGCTGCCAGCTGGTTCACTGTATGCATGACCATGCATACACAAGGACTGGTGGAAGGGGTAGAACTACTTTTGGCAGCATATGCTGGCTTAAAGAAATGTGAAATTTCTACTTTATAGCCCATAAGGCTCCTGTCCTAGGCTCTGAAGGTTCATGGAAGAATCTTCCTTGCATTTGCCCCATGATCAAGGAGAATTTTTTTTCTTTTTAAGGAATAGTTTTCCCAGGGAAAAGAAAAGGTCAAGAACAAAGCCTTGTTTCTACATTGCCAGAATCTTGATCTTTATCATTTCATCATTACTTTGGTGAAAAAATAAGAGTTTCACTGACAGCTCTAAGTCGCTTGGGCAGGACAAGCTCTCATAATGGTATAAAATCCTCCCACCACACATCTTTCATATTTTTCTCTGTGTAACAGATCCCATGATAAACGACCAATACTCTACAAATTCATAGTTGCATATTGAGAAACTCCTAGAGGAAAGTATAGCTGAGCTGATTCTACTTATCACCATCATGGAAGTCAAAGTCACAGATTCTTTCATAATTTGATGGCCAATATATACATTATGTGGCAGCTCTTGCATAACTCAGCAAAGCCAGCCATTTGATGAAGCATCAGAGAAAGGCAATATGCATGGAACTAACAATCATCACTGTGAAAATTTGGAAATAAAAAAATGAGCCTGAGGTCTGTATCTACCTACATATAGTCTCAGCTGAACTAAAGGACAGGGTGATTGGCTCTGAACCATAAACAAAAGCATATGTCAGATCCAAACAGGAGCTGAGACACAGGGCTCCAAGATAGGGATATGGACACATAAATGTATAGATCGATGGATACAAAGTGTATGCTATGGACTACATATACATACACCAGAGGAATTCAGGAGAGACTGAAATTTTACACTTACAGCTCACTGAGAATTGAATCACCACCAGCAAAGTGAAATGGTAGATCATTGCATTTTGAAGGCCACAGCTTTTCCTCTGCTGAACGTCCTTTTGTCTCAAGGCTAACATCAGGTATTTTAAACGTCACTTGCTTTTTCAGAGGTGACCCAAACGAACAAGGCTTATTTAATTTTTTGTAGAGAGTTTTCTGTCTCCAGAGCATTGCACAACGATAGACTGTCTGGTGAAGATTGTAGGCTGCCTGTCAACACAAAGAATAGCAGAGCATCTGATGGTTGAGAGTAGACAGTAACACCACACTACCTAGGGTAAACACCACCACAGAAAGGAACTGCAGTTTCTGATGACCTGAGAGCCATACCAGCTCTCCACACTATATTAGCAGGTCCATGTTAACATTCAGATAAAGAGAATTAACTGGGTACTTCTGCAACAACTCAGGTTGCACACAAACAAACAGAACAAGCAGTGTCTTGTAAACCTGGAAAAGAGCTGGAAAAGCTGACCAGGAACAGGAAGTAATCAATACATGCATCCCTATCCTCCTTTCCACACACAGGGCTGGACAGACATTCAAAGGCACAAGTGACACTACAGGCCATTCTTGCAGGTCTAAGTAGTACTAAAGCTAGGACAGGATGAGATGCAGCTTCTAATGTTTTATGTTAACACAGTCCCAATTTTAAGAACCCTAGTTAATGGCAAAAGTCTTATCCAGCTACATTGTCTATTGGAGGATTTGGCCAGTTTTGAAATAGCTTCATTAAGAAAGGTTCCCAGTTACCAACACAAGTCTCAAGCGCGCCTACATTCAGTTTGGAAAAAAAAATGGACAAGGTGTTTTGCTTTGAACCACAGGTAAAAGCACATGCCAGATGCAAACAAGAGCTGAGACACAGGGCTCCAAAGTCTATACATACTCACACACACACACTTCAAATACAGATCAGTTTGGTGCCCTGGATGTACTTGAGTGTTCACTTGTTTCTCACCTTTATCTGGTGCTGGGCTTGGAGCTGTCCCCGCAATTGTTTCATGCCAGCAGTGTACCTCAAGATCCAACTTACACCTTCTCTTATGAGAGCAGTACGATAAACTTCTGTGGCTTCTTCAATGCGATCTTTCCTCTCCTGTTGCACTTGGACAAATCTCAGCCAAGCACTGAATACCTACAACACCAAAAGCAGACAGCTGGCACTATTACAAATACAAGTTCTGGGTTAGGGACTCCACTCCCCCTGCAGATAAGAACACTCTCAGTTCCACTGGACAGTAATAGGCAGAGCTACTGCAGGACAAACACCACAAAGACAAAAGAATAGGTATTTGAATCAGCTTAGTCAGGATGGGAAAAACATGCCTTTTTTTTTTATTATTTGGATTACAAGACATGGGGACAGTTTTCCAGCATCCCAAATCAAAATACAGGACCCCAGAGAGGAAAGGAAACAGATGAGCACATGCACTCTGCTGATTGCAGTCAGACCTGTGTGTCAGCCAAATGCCTTTGTCTGCCCCCAAGCCTTCCACACACTTACCTTCCTCTGCAACGAAAGAGACCAGTACCACAATGCTTGCACTGTCTTCTGCTTTTCCCATTGCTGTTGCAACAGCTATTAGAAAATAATAATAATAATAAATATATATATATATATATATAGTACAGCAATCAGGTTAGGAGTCAAATCAACCAAAGAAGAAGTGCTGGTGGAGCCTTAGCAGAATAACCTACCCCATCCACCCAGGATATGTAAGGTATCTCTTGTGCTAGTGGAACAAAAACTTAAATAGTTTTGTTTGGTCCTCACATGAATAGAATATGAGCGAAAAGAAAGGCTAAGCATCAGCAAGCAGCTATATACTTAACCCAGAGGACAATTCCTTACCCGTGTCTTCCAGCAGGAGAAGGAAGTAGAGCAAAGTCTGTCAGTCATTAGCTGATCTGCCTTTCTCTGTAGCAGCTGTAAAACAAACAAAACAGAGAGGTGCTCACAGTCAAACCCCAATTATGTGAGCCAAATGCTACTAGAGCAGAACAGATACTAAACAGCCTTTACCACCCTTTGTTCTGTTGAGGCCAGCCACTCTTAATATCCAAGTGCTCTACGGTGTAACCCCATCTGCAAATACCCGTGAGCCCACAAGGATTTCATTAACAGTAAATCTAAAAACAAAAAATCGCACACATGGCAAGCCTGACTTGTCATCTCCTGTTAAGTCTGTTAGTTCTAACTGAAACTTCTTCAGGCAAGGCACAAGCATGTTCCTTCTTCCTCAGTGCACAACGCTCTCATGCTCCTCCTCAGCCAAGACTACTATTCCCATCACTAGGAAACATGGCTGGCTCCTCTACACCAGCAACTTCCCACCCTGGGTGACAGGCTGGGGAGGTGGTTGATCCTTCTCACCATTTTCCCAACACACCGCTGATGGTATTTCTTCCATTTTTCCAAGTGCTTCTGCAGCAGGTGCTGCTGGTGGTGCTGCACTGCCTTGTGTTGCTGAGCCCTCAGTATCAGAGACTCCCTAGTAGATTCCTTCCAGTGAAGAAACAGGGTCTGTAAACGCACTATCAGGAGAAGAGAAATTAACTACCATACTACCATGAAAAAGACACTATTAGTTTCAGACAGTATCTAGTGATCAGCTACTCTTCCAGATTGTTTTGGCAAAACCTCACACTGACTGTACTCAGCACTAGGAAGAAGGGAAGTGGAGCATTTCAGGTATCAGACAGTGAGCCTTGACTTGCAAGACTTCCCTGATATCACTGACATTCTTTATAATCTTTCAGAAATCATTTGCCATCTTTGTGCTTCAGAGCCATCAGCCACATCGTTTACATGAACTCATGAAAATGTTGGCAGACTCTGAGGGCCTTTCTATATTAATTACTAGAGAAAGATCAAGGCAATAATTGATAAGATTACTTTCATGACCCTCAGATCAGAGATGTCTCAGCTTCTCAATGTTAGTAATGGGAAATTCCCTTGAAAAAAAGAAGTGTTATCATCTATTATATAGACAGGGAACCAAAAGAGAGGCAAAAGTCACAGAAGAAGCCTTCAATAGAAGACTGGAGTCCCAGGTCATTCGCCATTCAATGGGGCTTGTCCACGTAGGCTTAATTTCCAGTCATCTGCACAGACGATACAAAAGACTGCCCTGCTAAGTCACATCCTTCTAAGGTTCTTATGCAGATATCTAAGTCTTTTGAGAGTTTAATACTCCCATCAGCTCACCCATATCCAAATGTTTTCTGGCCTCCATCACAGCTGTCACCTTCTGCTGACGGTAATGCATTTGTAGTAAGGCAGCGTACCTCCACTGTAGAAACACCTAAAGGTATGATGCAAACAAGAGACAGGATACAAACTGACATTAAAACATCCTTTAGAAGTACCACATTCTTGACACCACAATCATTTTCCACATTAGGCTCAGAAAAATGGTGCAAATCTCCTAAATAAAATGAAATACAGCAGTATTTTAGAGGGTCCCACTGGCATTTTTCAGGCAAACTTTTCTGTCCCACCCACAGATAATACTACTATGCTGTATCAGACTGTTTTCCCCTTCCAAGGCAATACGGAGAAGGAAAATAAGAAGAAAAACCATGAGCTCACTCAGAGACAACTGTTGCAGAGAAGTCTGTAGAAATAACCTGTGACTGGGAGTTTGGATCTCCCAATTTTCAGGGCTTTTCTTGATTGTTGCTCTTAAATTAAGTTTTTGGTACTTCTAATTGCATTACCTGGCCCCTGCCTAAGCTAGCAATCATACAGACCTTGGTATCTGCAATACGGAACATACCTTTGACAGGATTACTCTCCTGTAGTGTGCTTCTGCTCGAACAGTTGCCTTAGCTTCACAGATAAAGGAAAGGGCATTTTCTCTCCATTTACACAAAATCTGTCTGTAGGCAAAATGAAAACAAAACAAACCAAAAAACATTAAGAATTACTCTCACTTGTTCGTCTGGTACCTTCCCACTCACAGGGGAACCAAAACCAGCTGTCTCTATAAACTCAGTCTTGCAAATCAGTTATGGTTTCTGCTGAGAGAAAACAGAAGGCAGTGCAAAAGCAGAATACAACCCTTAAATCTAGCATCTTAAGATAAGTCAGACTCTGCAAGTGGCTCAAGCTGTATAACACACACACACAAAAAGACATAGTTAAAATTAAAGCAACTACAACCAATATACAGTGACTTATCCTTAATCATCCTCCTTACTATAATGGAAGAAAGCCTCTACATGTTCCAGGCTGCTTTAATATTACAGCAGTCAGAATCTATGCACTGCAGAAAATGATATAGGTTGCTGTCTTGACTCTCTCATGGGGCTAAACACAGATAAAGTCTGGCATGTGCAATAGGTAAAGTCAATGAGACAGTTAAAAAAAAAAAAAAAAAGTTAAACCAAAACAGATAGTGATACACTAAGAGGTTGAATTTAGTTAGTTGACCAGCACAGAAATAGCAATGCAGAGTAGACAGTTCCCACCACCAAATACTCAAAATTTTACACAGGTGGCAGCAAAAACAATAGAGTAATTTGGCTGCAATGTAGTCAATTCTCTCTCATGCTGCTTAAGGAAATATGGCCTTACCGCAGCAGTAGTCTAGTGTGCTGTTTCTCCTTTTCAGCTACTTGGTGTAGGATGCACTGAACATTATGTTGATAACTCTGTAAGAAAAGCAATGAGAGGTGAGATTTCCTAAACTGCCAGGACCTTTGAGGAGAGAAGATATCTGGAAACTCTTAACAGCAGCTTTAGAGTTAAGAAAACAACAACAACAAAAAAAAGCTCCAACTACTGGAATCAAATGCAGTTTTTCTGAGATGGGTAGTCATTATATACTCATTAATGCTATTATTTATCATTCACCGACACCACAAGATGACATTGCTTCTTTTGCTTCAAAGAACAATGCTAGCACTCACACTAGCCAGCTACAATAGCTTCCATTCTATTTGCACACTTGGTGCATAAGCACCTGGAGTGAAACAACATGGCAGCTTGTTATTTGCCATTTCAGCACACACAGACAAGTTCCACAAAGTGTCATTCTCTCTTACCTTCCAGGCTGCCAATGTCTTGCTCAGTAGTGTGTGCTGATAGTGCCTATCTGCTTGCACCAGCTTTGTCCATTTCTCACACCGATGTCCCACATACTACACAGAGAAAAAAAAGGCAGAGATTGAACAGATATGTGATGGAGGGGAATCTAGCAATGGCAAAGAGCAGAGGGAAAAGGATCACTTCTAATCTCTGGTGAAACAGCACTTCTTTTTCTTGCTATGAAAGGTTTTCAAACTAGTCCTGCACTCTGCTATTCCTCTCAAAAAGGCTAGTTGATGCCTTTTTTCCCATCCTTTTTCAGGAACCCTCTCAAAGACACATTTGCTATACTATGCCATGGCAAGAGATGGCATAAAAATGAAATGCCTACCTGATATTGCCTGCTATGACCTGTGCATAACTATAAGCCATACACCACAGACTTACTGCAAATTTCTAACTTAAATAAAGCTTTGCAAAGGACATAATTGGCATTGACTAGGAACAATCTGATCACACTAATGCTGGTTACATTCTCAGATAAATCTCAAAAGCTCTAGTTCTATTCTCACTATCCCTGAACAAATGAACGGGAAGAACTCCCTTTATTCGCTACACAATTCCTGTTCCAGCCACTTGGCAAGAGAGGAAAACTTAGGAATGACTAGTATTTAAAATCAACCATTTCCTTTAATGGGTACAAGCAATCCAATTTCAAGCATTTAGCCATATGTTAACTCTCTCACCTTTCTCCACTTGTTCCAAGACTGCTGCAGACACTTTGAATAGTGAAATCTTAGGGCTTGGCTCTCCTTGAGCCTCCTATGGGAAAAATGATTGAATTATTTCTTCTCCAATACAATCCATGTTACTAGACACCTCTAGCACAGACATGTCCACGCTCGCTATCTTCAGTATACTAAGTAAAAGACAAACCAATAGAATCTAAAGCACAAATACCAAGTCAGTGACTAAGAATTAAATACTGCTTTGTCAGAAGTGGGCCACCACAAGGCTAATCCAAATAATTCTCCCTTCTAAAGAACTTCTTACTCCATTTTTCTCTCTTGAGTTTTTTGTTTCCACAGACAAAAAGCCTTTAGCAGCAGCAGGTCCCTGTAGTGATCTCTTGCACAAGCCAACCCCTTTTTCTCTTCCAGACGTGCAGCTGTTCTTCTACACCAGAGGCACCAGAAGCAAACGAGCAGTTGCCTTTCAAAATGAAATATAGCCTATAATGGAGAGAAGGTGGTAATAAATTTGTGACACAGGCCAGCTGCAAACAACAGAAGACAATTCTTCAAAAGTTGACAGGCATAGAACTGTCTCCCATGTGTTTTCATCTTTTTTATTTGAGCAACAATGGACACATCAAAGTCCCTTTGCTGTGAGCTTGTGTGAATAGTGTTCTACACATTTCTATGTACGTGGACGGAGAAACTGTTACCAGAAAACAGAAAACCAAAGAGGAAACACAGAAGCTGATAAGCAGCATGTGAAAGACTCCAAGAACTGATAAGCTCAAGAAACAAGTCCTGTTGAATATGTATGAGCAGATAAACTCAGAACACCAAGAGCCAGCCCTATCTCCACAAGGCCACCAGCACACATTACCTTTGACTACGAGTTGTGCAGCTCACCACATAAAATAAGGCAGTGGCTGATATATAAAAAACTACAGGATTATATTTACACCTTAGGAAATGAAAGACCCCTTGAGGGACTTCCTAGACACCAACCTAGAAGCCACTACTGTTTTTGCACAACCCCAGTACTTATAGCTAGGGTGGGGAACTAGCTGGGGTGACTCCTCTTTATTGTTATTGTTTCAACCAGGTTAACTACAAAACAGAATGAGAGCATATATTTACACTATGTGAGGGAATAAGAGAATGAATAGCATGAATAGTTATCTGTTAACAATAACAGTTTGATTATATTTATTAATAAGCAGCTTAACTTAAAATGGTGATTAGCAAATATTTGTTGCAATGCATTCCCTGATTTGATTCACTACCACCACCAGAGAGAAAGGTATTTACAACACAAAGCCCATCTCACATTAACTGATGTTCAAAACAGTGAACAAGAAATCATTCCCTCTATTTCCTGAGCAAGACCAGGCAAAAGAATTACTTTTACCTTTTTCTCTTCCATTCTGTATTCTTGCTCCTTGCACGCCTTCAACAACCACGTGTCAAATATCCGTCTCATCAACATCTTCCTGAAAGCAAAGAGGGAGAATATCAGCACAGAAGATAATTCAGACAACTTATTTTACGAATTTCAAAATGAATTCTACCAAAGCCTCTTTATAAACAAGGCAAAGTTAGTTGCCATCATTATCAAAGATTTTTTCTTTGTAGATGGAGATAAACCTTCCTTTCTGGCCTGCCTCCTCCCAGGGATGCACAAGACTTATTATCAAATAGTATCCCAAAGTTGCAACAAATATGTATTTGTGATTAACAACTATATGCTCTCACACAGAACACACATGGTAGAAGTGTCGCAGTCCAGAAGTTTGAGTTAGTCTAGTAGAACTAACACCCACTCAAAACTACATCTGTTATTTCTAAAACTTAATCATGTGGGTATACTAATTAGATTGTCAGCAAGTCCCAGCCCTTCTCTACTTAGCTCAAAATACACTTCAGGCTCTTAGCAGGTGATTTTTAGTAGGTGGCTATTACAAGTCATTTCAAATTTATAGTAAACAACATGAGTTAAGTGAGTCTTTCTGGAGGGTACAGGTAGCTGCCAACAAGAGCATCTTTGATCAGCAGACGGTCACAAATCTCAATTGATGGCTCTTCTGGGGTATCTCCTGATCACCAGATGCAGCAGCTGGGGCACTGACATATGAAACTGCACATACGTGCGTCAGAGATCAACAGGGAAGTTGAGTTCTGGCAAACTGTCATGAAAGTTTTACTTAGATCTGGTTGGAAAGCAGCTCCACACATATGAACAAGGAACACACTTCTTACAATTGTATGTTCAGGAAATAAGACTTCATTTATACTCTTCTAAAGAGAAAAGATTGCATGCAAAAACATTTCTGGCTTACGGAATCAAGGTACAGCTACAGAATCGATGAAACCTTTGAACCAGGTATTTATTCATCCTCTTCCTGATGAGAGGCATAAATTACAGTGCAGTAATTTCATGCTACAACTCATTTTCACAGAGCTTATCCTCCTGGGACTTTCAGCCTTCTCTCTCTCCTTGTCTGCAGAAGATAAGCTAACACACCACTGCTGCACTCTAACACAGGGTGGAAAAATTCCCACTTGCTTGCAGAAATGCACTCCAAACCTACTTGTTACTCTCACAAAAAGCAAGCCGATATCCAATGAAAACCAAGCTTCCTACAGCTTGTTTTTCAGTTGTGAAACCAGGCTTCTGACAGAAACACAGCAATCTAAAACAGAGGATGTGACTGTCCTCTGCAAATGAAAGCTGTAAGCTCCCAAGTCTACTAGGAAACAGGATTCAATGCTAAAAGAACATTTTTCCCCTCCCAGTTTATGCAGGAAAGTGTCCAAGGAGTAGATTCATTCTAAGACTGTTTCCAAACATAAACATTCCAAGAAAAGAAAAAAACTTAGTTTTCTAATACAGAAAATGAGAGATAGGGTTTAATTGCACGAGAAGTTGGGACCCTAACTGAAGGGTTAGGGCTGAATCCAAGGCTAAGAATACAAGCCAAGGTAAGGTCTTTAAGGAGTCCCAGAAAAGATTAACATTTCTTTCTCTCCATCAGTATTTCCATCCCCCTCCGATTTCCACAATGAACAAATGCACAATCTTATAATTGCTGGGCATGTCTGAGGCTCCATAAACGTAATCAGTAAGATAAATCATTACCCTGAGACAAAGGCTAATGGCTGAATTTTAAAGAGGTGATGAGAACCTATGGCATCCGTTTACTTCAATAGACAGCAGAATCAACAAGCAACTCTGAAGCTGCAGTGTGAAATTACTGGGAATCTTCCTAACTTAAACTGGAGTAACTCTAGGAATTGTAACTGATTTATTTTGGCGCAAGACCAAACTTGTGAAACAATCAATATCATCATTGTGAGTTTGGGTTCTATTCCTATGAGTATCACACTGGTCTTGGAGCCAAAATTGAAGTTTACAGATACATCTTGTTTGTTTCATATTGAATCTAACTGCACATACTGCAACTGACTGTAAGGTAGGTAACCAGAGTAATATTTCTTCAGTGACCTCTGAACAAAACCGAAGTGATCCTGAAGTCAAGACATCAAGAAATCATTTTTCCACAAATTAAGAACAAGCAGCTAAGACTCCTGAAGAACTCTTTACACGGAGCATTTCTATTTTCATCAGGCAACCTAAGTGAATCTTATAAAACTTATAAGTCTTATAAAGACTTATAAATGAGTCTTTATTAAAGACTCATTGAAGCAGCCCAAAACACCATCCATAACAAACTAATTTCATAAGAACAATCCTAAATCTGTGTGGAAGAACAGTAACATTTTTTTCATCTCTCTCCAGTGTTGTTCACGGCTCTTAAACTACTTCCATGCCTGAAAGGGTGCCAAGATTTTATTCCCCAAATGTCTATTAGTTTTGACTTACTGTCTCTAAAGAGGTGCAAACCAGCCTGACTCCTTTTCTGAAAATTTCCACAGTCTCTGTTTCCTAAGGGATTTAGAACAACACTATCTCAAATAAATAACCCTAGTCAGTTCAGAATAGATTACACACATTTGCCTTTAAGGGTTTGGTTCTAACATTGAAAATGCATTGATGACTTCTCTCACAGAAGAAAATACAAAATAATCTGTCTCATTAATGTATGATGACACAAGTAGCTTGTAATCATTTACTTTGGATATACTCATGTAATCCAGTGCTATTCATAGGGATTATGAACACTGCTATGTTCATGAACTGTAAGAGAGGTCCTGAAATCAAAACCAAAACTGCATTGGGTAAAAAGACAATGCCTAGTGATCAGTTATTCCAGCAAAGAAGAATTAGAAGAAAGCATCCGAGTAGTTGCTAAAGAAAATAAGAATAATTAAAAAGCACAAAAAATATAAAAATGCACAAAAAAATATAAAAGCTACACTTCACCAACAACAGACCAGCAGAAAATCATTTTTCCATTTTCTTTAATAGACTGAATTGCAGAACTATTTGTAATTTCAGTCCTTTTAACCTTTCCTGCCCAAAACCAAGCCAAATGATGGGCAACACTGCTATCCATTCCAAGTTAGACACCAAGCTTCACTCTGAATCTTGCAACTGAAGAGGCTACTTTGAAGCAGTCTAACATAAAAGCCAGTACAATCAAATTACAATTATTCCTCTAGACTCAGATGCTCAGATGGTATTAGCATCACCTGCCCTGCAGAGCATGATAAAAGCTAGCTGTCAGTAGAGGATTCAGAGAAAGACAGTAGCAGATTGTGTCCAACAACCAATGGTCAGCAAAACCACTATCACATATGGACTCCACAGACAATAAAAATCTACTGAAACACTAGCGAGACCCCACACCTGCCTGAAATTTCTCCACTTGACATTCTCTAGCCACAGCTTGAGAGATTCATGCAATAATGATGCCCTGGAAATTAAACATGAATCAACTCTAACTTAGAACCAAGTATATCACTTTTTCTTGTAATACTAGTCTCTCTTAATCAAGGAAGTTTTACAACTCTCAACCAACCCTGCTGGGAGGATTAGAAGAAATGAGATAGAGATTTCATGGTGTGGAAGATTCTGATTAGGCTGCAACGTAGTTCTCTGAACTGTAGAAAAATCAAATGTCTTTTTGAACACGAGGTGTGCTAAACAGATAAAAGAACAACAGATAAAGAACGTCACCTATAAGCATGCATGGCACAGCAAGGTTTCTCTTCATTCCCTTATTACCCTGAACCTCATTTAAACCAAGCAAATCTATGTGGTTTATTGCACTAACATGCTCACTTGGGGATATCTCAATAGGTTTCATTTGTTTGAGAGCAACACCACAATACTGTGGTTGAAATGTTTTCAGTTTCAGCTCTAGCTTCAGGATCTGTGCACTATACAAGACAGCATGCTGCACTGAGTAGCACAGACCTGTCTGGTAAAGATCTTGCTCTCCCCTGCTAAGCTGAATCAAAAATCAGAAAATCTCCCAAAATAAAGTGGCAGCAAGAATTTTGAGCTCTGACTACCTACTGCTCTTACCAGGACAACCTCCAGTTTTTGTATTCAGTATTAAGAGTCTCATAGCTAGGCTTATTCCATCTCCCCCTCACACTTCACAGAGGGGCAGGAGCTATCAACTGTCTATTATTCACAGAAAACATGAGAGCAATTTGCATCAAGAAGATCATGCTCCTAAAGGTATTAGCAGATTTTAAAACTGAACCAAAGGCTCACAAATCCCACAATTATATAAACTTATATGAATATTTCTCTGCATACCTGTAACGTGCATGAGCCAAGGATGTTAAGGCCTGCTGTTGTTCTTCCTCCTTCTCTTCCAAACGGGACTTCCAGAGGTTCCAGAACTTCTGCAGCACCTGAAACGGAGCAACAAAGATATGAAAAACAGAGCTATAAAAGGAAGGAGAAGAATGCAAAGAGAGATTAAGTGTCCTATTAAAACTGCATGCAGTGGGCAACCATTGTTGCAGCAGGCTGCACTGTCCCATAACACAAACTTCGTCTATGACCTGCTATAATTTGTTCTGGCAAAATAAAAAGTCACGATAAACATTAAAATCACAAAACTAAAATAACATACCAAAGATGGCCAGTTGATTTAGGCAAGAGATTTTCTGTGGCTATTAGCATTTAGAAACAAAGCCACTATTTTAACAAGAAATATTTTGTAGCTGGAAGTAGACACCAATAGGACAGCTCAGGAAAAACTCTGACACAAGAACTGCACAAAGTCAAACTCACTGTAATCTGATACTGACGGTATGACAGATTTTTTCTCATTTGCTGAAGACGAGTGTTCATAACATTCTGCTGAAGACCCTTAAACCCAAGTTTCTGTAATAGAAAGAAATGTACACAACTTTCACAAAATCCAAGTCAGCAAGCACTCATCAGTTTAGAACTGGCTACATATCACAACCTACATTTGATGCTACTCCTTACAATATCTAAAATTTAGCATCTTATCATCAACAAAACCATGCATCTCCTCTCACAAGTCATCACTTCTCCAAAATTCCCCTCCACATTCCCAGGGTTTTACTGTGAGGCAACTAACTTCCCTATCTGGATTCAACTGGCATTCTGTAACATCTGGAATTTGGAAACCTGTTTTAGAAACTCACCATGGCAAAAACATCCCCCACTTAACACCCGTGCACCATTGTTAGTGTTCATGGCACAATGCCAGTCACAAGTATTTGAATTCTCTCCACAACCTCTTCCACGTGACGTAACAGTGCTCTTACCAGCAGATGATGCCTGTGATGTTTTTCAGCCAGCTCCCACTGCTGGGTCTCTTCCACACACAGTACAACATCTGTTACTGAGTTAAAGCATCTTTTACACAAACACACATCCTGATAAATATACAACCTCCTCCCACAGAATGGAACTACATCTTCATCTAAATGTACTTCAACATTTGAATTTCCTGCACTGTTATTTGTAGGGAGATATTTTGATTACAGTCAAGTTTTAGATTTTGCAGGCTTAACACAACACATTTCTGATTCACTGTTCTGTAGTAGCCAACAGGACAGCTCAAGAAAAATTCTGACACAAGAACAGTATAAAAATCAATCTCATTGTAACTTATGCTGTCAGTATGACAGATTTTTTTCATATGCAGGCAGATTTTTCTCTTGCAGGCACTTAGCTATCAAAAGGCTAGCATACTATGATTGCAAGTTTTATTAATTGTTAATAGAGCCTTACATACATCCTTCTAATGATATGTTTGTTACCTGTGCTACTGTATGATATTCCGGCTTATTAACCAGATCCTCCCACTGCAGTAATGCTAGCAACTCAATAGAAAATGGATACAATGCTTCCAGTGTGCAAAAGCTCTCCATAATGCAATCCTCGCTGACAGTTTTTCTATCTCCTTTTGTTGAGCATGTGCTCTTCTCCTGCACTCCCATGACTGCCGCCAATTTGAGAAACACTGACGGATTATCCTGCCTTGGTGATGCTCTTGAGCTAGCTCTAGAAAACAAACACACAAATTACTCGTGAATTATCCTGTCCTGGACTAATTTATTTCAGGTTCTGAAGCAACAGAAGCTCCTAGCACTGGAAAACAGTGGTAAGAATTCAGTTAACACTCAGCTATGGACTACATTCTTCTTTTTGATCACAAAGGCGGTTTTAAAGCAGAAACACATAGTACTGATTCAAGGAGGGAAATGAGTTTCCCTTGATTTAACAAGTGCCACTGTGCAATACACAAGCTCACTTTTCAGCATTCTGCTGTTACTAGTGTCCTGATAGCCAAGCTGAAGTCTTTCCACTACCACCAATCAAAAGGCATTCACGCAAATGTCTGAACTTGTCCCAGTGATTTCAAGGGAGAAACAAAAGAACTGCTGTAATAATCTTTACCATCCTGTAGGAGCTGCGATTTGTCTGATTACGAAAAAAATCTTCACACAGATTAACTGATAATAGCCACAAATATATCCTTCTCACACATCTTAGAACATAATCTGCAATGTGCAAGTTTTCATCATGGGAACAGTAAAGCATTTTCTTCTAAATCACATGGAAAGGAGGTGATCTTCCTCACAGTTCAGTACAGAACCTCAGCTAGCCAGGTCTGTGGCAACGTACAGCTCAAGTTGGATCTCACCATCTGTTGGGACAGCAATAACAAGAAGCACCACGGTGTCTCCTAGAATAAACACTGCTGTGCCCTAAGCAAGGGGGCTGAGCTATTCTGCCCTAAATCACCATTTTCACTCACCGTTCTGACATTTCTTTGCTCTGTGAAGTTCTAAGTACCCCAGCCATGCTTTCATGCTTTTCTTCAATTCCACGTGCAGATGGTGAGTTACTGCCTTAGTCTCCTTCTGCTTGTCACTCTGGATGTATAAATAGAGCTCTCGCCACTGCAACCAAGCCTGACAGGACAATTGAGGGAGGCCAGCAAGGGGGGAGAGAGGAACAGACAACATTAGAGAAGTAGAACAAAGAACTCTCCATAAGTACAAGAGTGGAAGCCGTGAGCAATGAGGTTACCCAAGTAAACCATTTCCCAAGTAAACCATTCTTTAGGAGGCTGATTTTATATCCTCACGTTCCTCCTACATTTATAGGCTGCTCTCTCACTCCAATCCATTCAAACACCCAAAGCAGCATCAGTGTAGAAAAGGTAGAGACACAAAGAATTTCCATAGCAAACATTTTTCCTTTTTTTTGTTTGATGCTTTCACACTTTTCCCATTAGAAATCCTTTTTTTTTTTTTAATTGATCTGCAATGTATTAGTCACATCTGTGTGCAATTTAAACATTAGAAATGGTAGCAGCAGGAGTTACTAGGACTTACTCGAAACTGTAGGCTCTGGGCCCAATGCTGCAGAGCCAAAACGTTCATTTTACGTCCAGCATGGTTCTGATAGCATCGTCTTCTCCACACTGCCCATGATATGCTGCCAAAGCAATGTTACAGACATTCAATAGAAGGTTCCATAGTTTTATGCAAGAAAACACCTTGCTCTCACTGGAAAAGGTATGAATAACCACCCTTTAAATTCACAGTTTATAGGCATACTGGAAGAATTCAAGTAAAAATCAAACATGAAACAAAGCCACTGTAGGAAAAGATCACAGAACATGAGTTAAAAAACACAGCCTTGTGGTCAGTGCCTCCCTGCCTGTTTCCATTCCATTCTTACCGCAAACAGCTTCTTTCCCTGAATGCCAGTGCCACAGTGTGCATACTTTGTTTTGTCCTTTGAACATCAACATAAATCAGCCAATGCTGCCAGGTCCTGAGTAGTTTTTGCTTCTTTGCTGTGCATAACAAAAAATGACAGCACCTTAAGTTCATGCAACAATCTGGCATTTTTAAGCACCCCATAACACCACCTGCTGCCAAGCTCCAGTCCCCACAGCCTGCAGTGACACCACGTGGGAAACCCTAAAATGACAGCCACCAGAGCTAGCCACAACCATCCAACCTCGGCAAAGGGAGTCAAATGGACAAGAAAGATCTCTGAAACATCAATAGGATCATGCCACATGTTCAGAGCAGTGTGAATTATCAGAGTACGGCATTGTTTTATCTTTGGTTCTGACAGGATGTATAATTGGATAACAATACTCAGCATAACAATCTTCTTAAATAAGAATTGCAGGATTCTCTTTGGTTAGTTCAAAAAAAAATTCATCAGTAACTTTTCAAGCTATTCCCACATCACAGAGAACTCAACCAGAAACAAGCCAAGTTTGTTTAGCAAGCCAGTCACACACCTAAATCAGAAGTGTCACGAATTCCAACTTACGACATCATCCAGTGCACTGCCCTGCCTCATATAAGTCTGGCTTGTCAGAACTGATATCAGTGAAGCAAAGTTATTAGAAATGATCAAAAATGTCACTGATTTTATACTACTTCAAATTTATCCCTCAAAAAATATTTTTATTTGGAAAATTTCTTTGTGATCTGGTAAATCAAGTTTTGACCTGTCTTTAAACAGATCACTTTTCAATCATTTTGACTAAGTAACACACAGCTGCTTCTGTAATTACATTAGTCTAGAAAGTCCATCAGTTTGTTTCCAAAATGCCAGAACACATAATATTCCAATATTAGCATTCATATGCAAAGAGACCAGTTAATTTATTTTGTAAATCAACACAGAACAAAATCATGGTATCATGTTTAAAAGGGAGTCATCTTCCCTTTCATGGAAATTTATATTCCCTGAAACTTAAGGAAGTTGCAACCAGTATAGGCAACTTCACCAGCAGGACAAATCCAACGCAGAAGAAAGGAGCTACATAAGACTATGACCACTTCAAAAGCTTGGGCTTCTTTTCAACTACATGGCAGAAGCTGGAAAGAATAGCAAATACAGGTAAAATATGTGTGGCTAAGTTTATAACATGAGGAATAAGGATCTGATCTCTATAGGCACAGTTGATGGAGAATTCCAATCCAGTTCCAGTTAAATGCACAGACATGTGGAAGGGACAGAGATTCTGTGCAAACATTTCCCTTGGAAACTCCTACCTCAGCAAGTCCCCAAATAAAGGTAGTTACCTCCCTTCTACACTTACCATGAGACTCTGCAACATAGTATTTCATCCTCTTTTGCTGTTGCTGGCACACATAAGCTCTCCAAGCTTTGAATATCAAATTGTGGAGTAAGTGCCTGAAAAATATTTAAAAAAAAAGCCATTTGATGTAACAGCTACCAATGCCTAGAAGAAGGATCCTTTTAAGTTCAGCTGCACTCTAAAGATACGCTGGATAAGAAACATGTACTGCATCCTAAGAAAAAAAGGGGAGGGGGAAGAGAGAGAGAAAAATATTAAAAAAAAAACAAAAAAAAAACAGTTAAGACATTGCTCTTGACCTAGAGCTGTCATTTTACTACATTAATTGTTCATTGGTATTAACAACTTCTTTAGAACCTAAGGAAAATTTCTCATATAGCTAGATACACTCAGTAACAGAAAGCAATTTCACAAACCTGTAGTGGTTGTCAGCTCTGAGGATCAACTTCCTTTCTCTGCAAACAGGCCACCGCTCCTTCCATACTCTGAATGTTTTTTGAAGAATCTTCTGATCATAAAAGCATCTAGGCAGGTGAAGGATTTGGACATGGGAAACTTCAAACACATTTCCAGGTTGACCACAAATAAGTTCAATGCAGATTTTCATTTTGTCTGATTAGCCTAAGAGCATGTAATTGCGTGTTACTCTACTGTTACACCCTATTCCAAGGCTCTTTAAGTATGACAAGAAGCAATCAGTTCATTGGCTCTAAATACTAAACTATGCAAATATTTTCCTTGCCAATTTTGGTCTCAGTTATTTTAGCATAAAATATTTTACATATCAAAATAAATACCAAAAGCTGCTTGCAGATTTTATAATGTTTTAATATTTCCATTGTGTTCTTAGAAGCAGCATACTGATCTCAAGTCATCCCGAATTTAACATCTTCCCAAAGAACACTCAAATAAGCTTAAAAACTACTTCATGAAGTTGCACATTATCCATGCCAAAAATGAAGCTGTTTATCTGTTTGTTTACCTTCTCCTTCTGCATGGAAGCTAACACACAAAATGGATTTGCAAGTCACATATGGCCTCCAAATCCTTTGAACCCCAGAAGAACAGCCTCCACTTCTACACCCAAATTTAATTCCCAAACCTGACCAGATAAGAAGTGATGCTACATTTCAAGTGAACTGTGAACAACTAAACATTCAGGTAGAAGAGAATCAATATGATGGAATTAGGATTTTGATCACTTATCTCATAGGATAAAATTCTCTTTAACTAAAAATAAGGGTCCTCATCTATTATTCAAGCAATTCACTTTCTTACTTTTAAATATTCTCTGAAACATTTTTCCTTCGGTCAAAACAACCTGACCAACATTTTACAACGTGGAAGTCTCATCAGCTGGAATATGAATGCTTTCCAAAATTTCCTCAATTGTTTGTATTTTGGATGGAGCGAAGGAAAATGGAAGAACCCACGAAACACACAAGCTAACAAACAAAAAGCATACAAGAAGCCCAGACTAACTTCATGAAATTGGTTTCGCCTATAATATCAACAGGATTAGGTCCAGAATACCTTGATGTTTGTCAGTGAAACACACACAAATCCTCTCACAAGTTGCAATTCATAGCTACCTACCCCAAGTTGCTAAGTCATTCCAAGCACTTAAGCAGGAAAAAAAAAAAAAAAAGAAAAAGAAGACAGAAAAGAAAAGAATAAGCTATACATTTATTTTTTACTCAGTGCACTAATAGAACATTGTAAATAAAAGCTGTGGAGAAGGCAACTCCTGATTCTAAAAAGGCAATTAATTATCACTTATATTCCTTTCCGAACATTAGAAAATATATTTCCACTCATTCTAAAAAAAAAAAATGCCATGAATTTACACAGCGGAAGCAAGTAATGCAAATTCAGTATAAGGGATACTAACTAAGGCAGACACAGCCAGAATACTTTTAACAGAGTACAATGAAACTGGGCAACAAAGGGTCTGATCTTACTCCGACTGAAACAAATGGTCTTTCCACTGGTAACTGCCTTAGTTCCCAAGGGAGTGGTAAAACAAGAATGAACATGCAAATTAAAACTAAAGCAGAAAAGAGTATCAAAGTGTTGATTTTTAGTAGCTGTACACTAACAACAAAAATGAATCATCTGCCACAGGTATTTTGAAGTCAGATGCAAAGCACGGCAAAACATATACAGTTAAACACATTAAGAACAACACTGCAAACAGTGAAATGAACTGAAGATCAAGATCTATTTGTGTTCCAGATTATTTATAAATTTGAAAAATCATTACATTCAAAGCATGTGTCACATTCATACCCTATCATTTGTATGCACATACAGTTCAACTTCATCAAGACAACTGCAGGTCCTCTGAAAAGAGTTAGTGAAATTTAACCACAATTATTAAAACAAACAAACAAAAACAGGAGCAAGAGGAATATTCAAAGGAAACCTTCAAATGACACACAAAAGACACCCAAGGATTTTCTTGACAGCCACAAGTCTCTTAACCCAATGTTACATTACTAAACCATACCAAAAAAAAAACACATCTAAATTTCTGGAACTTCATCTACCTTGCACTGGAAGGAAGAACTTGTCCAAATGTCTTTTTTGTCCACAGGTAAAAGAACTTCCTTTCTAGGTATCTGGAATATAAGAAAAGTTTAGCATCCTTGGACTCTACCACCGTTAACTCACAGGCAACAGTAAAAACACAAACTTTTATGATAGTTTCAGGTAATAACACTAAGGGTCTGACTTTACAGAGATCAAATGCATATACAAAATATCTACATCATGAAGTTAGTACCTTTAACAAACATAATGAGGTCAGTGACACACTTGCCTAGGAAACCTAGGCTGACAAGTTATTTTCAAGCAGCCCAGTTACACTCAGTGATACTGAATAGCAGCCTGCCGATTAACTGGGCTGCCTTTTTCCTGATTAGGAGAGGTAATGCTACTATTTCTCTGGTTAACCAGCCCTGTCAGACACATTTCCAGAACAGTGGGCCAATCTAATGTTTACCCCTGAAACAGGGAGATGTTCCTTCTTTCCACCTCCCCCACAGCAGTTCTGCTTCTCCAGATGCCTGTTCAGCTCACTCATCTAGGACTGTGATACTATCACTCTTTTTTTTTTTTTTTCTCAAATGGATTTAAGAGTTAATTGCTTCACAGATGGCCCCCATAAGCATGAAAGCTGACACAGGGATTAAAGCATGCAGCCATGAAGAGGGCCTCCCTCTTTCAGCAAGCCTGAGCTGCTACATCAACTCCATTTGTTCAACAAAGTACTAGGCTTTTGATCTCCAAACAATTACCATCCCATCTGTGTCAAGACTCCTTCAACAAACAAATATAAAGAAACACAAGAGGAGAGCAGGACCAAGTTATTATACCTTGCAGTCCTCTAATAACACACAATGTTAGGTGGTCATTGTTTACATTAGAAAATCAAAAATGTAGGAAATCTGAGCTAATACATGTCCTCACATTACCACAAGACATCTTCAAAACTGCCTGACAGACCTATGAATAAAACCTTTGTCTTAGCATTCACTTGTACTACTAAACCCATACTTCTTCAATTGTGACCTCCACCCCTGCTCCGTTCAGTTAAAGGTATGTAATGTACTTATCACCTGATCTGGAATTCTTTTAACCTTCTTCCTTGATTCCAGGTATACCCAGCTTGATGCAGACAGTAATAACCTCTGTCCTGAAACTGTCCAGAATGCTGGGAAGCAATGGATTGCCCAACTGCGTGTATTTCAGGCCTAGGTAGTGGTTGGATTTCATGCACCTCAAGGCATTTTAATCTTAAAGAAAAAGAAGAAATATTTTGTATAAAGCTATATTAACTTAATTATTTCAATATATTAATTTGTTGAATTTTTTATAATCGCATATAGAAGTTACACAATGTTAAAATGTATTTATTGTCTCTGTCAGGCATTTTTCACTATCTTCATCTGTGGAACGTTAAGGCCATCTACCCAGGATGAGCAATAAGACAAATCAGTGTAATCAAGATAGAGACAATTCCTTTCTCCTCTGAAATTGAAATGAAAAGGTACTAAAACACATTTGCGCTTTCTCTCCCATGTGTGTATACAATAAAAATTAAAGCCTTTGCAGAAAGTTTTGAATGTGTTTTTCTGCCTTATTCTTGAACATACGAAGCTTTTCTGTCTACACCAAAAAGAACATCTTGAGGACTAGGGAACTGAAGTGAGAACTTCTCAATGATCGTTTTAACTGGAAATTGACTTATATGTACTGCACTTTTACTAGGAGCTCTTTCCTAGCCTTGCTTATATTTGAACTAAAGGTGTTTATTCTTTAAAAAAAAATCCTTCCCATTTTCACAAATCCATCCTTAAAAAAGCAAAATAAAGCATATTTACCCATCATAGTTTACTTTCACATGTACTTCTGATCTGAAAAATAACTTATGTTTTTATGAATTCTAAGTATTTTGACTTCACAAATTCCTGAAAACAAGAATAATAAAAAAATCTAACCAGATAAAACTTGCTGGACCAGTTGTATTGAAGCTTCTTTCCCAAAACAAATACTGCCACCACCCTGAAAATTTGCACATTAGAACCACAAACACATTCTTGAATTCCATAACAGGCAACAGAATAGAACAGTCTCAAATCTCACCCTAGTAACTGCCTGAACTGAGCTAGAAAAAACATGGCTACAGTCAGAAAAAAAAAAAAATCTTGTTTCCGTGAAGTTATTGGAACAATCTACACTAATAAGTTTCAGGATTCAACAGAACAACTATTCACAGCATGAAGAATAAATCACTGAAAACAAACAAACAACTCAGTTTCCTACAGTTTACTAGTTAAAACCGCCTAGGAGGAAACAATATTTTTGCCTTGTTCCACCCAGCTGCAAGGAGATAAAACAAAACCAACAAAAGAAAGTGACCTATATTTTTCAAGAGACAGAAGTCCTTCTGCTCCTATAAAATACTGTTTGAATATTTTCTGAAAGAGTAGGCCCCATCCAGGAAGACAAAAGAATTCTCTGCACGTAAAGACGTGCAGTAAAGGCAACTGTATGCACCTTGAAGAAAAGGGTTTAAGGCTTTTGTAAAATTATGTTAAGTAGTTTTCAGCCTAAGGTTTTGTACATGTCTGTTAGGTCCAATTACCTCTAAAACCTTCTAAACTGTTCCAAAGGCAAGTAATCAAGTTTTGATAAAACATGTAGAAGTTTTGTATTAAAGTCTAAGGATCAAGGAAGATTTCTTTTTATACTATAGTGTTATGATAACATAACACAGAGTCATCCTTTTGTTTGTCTTTTGTTGTTGTTGTTGTTGTTTGTTGAATTATTATTTATTTAGAAAAGGAACACGTTCTGGTTAATAACATTCCATGGAGACCATAACTTTCTGCTATCCCATGAAATGCATAGGATGTCGTTATTAAAAAAGTAGCCAAGGTCTTTAACAAGACAGCATCCTATTATTACTTACCTGCTTTGAGATTTCTCCATTTTGCTACAGTTCCAAGTCTGCAGTGAATAAATGCACTTGCTGCACTGGAATGTTGTTTATTAGCTTTGGACAGAAAAAAAAAAAAAATAGTTCGTGTTATTTGTGATGAATCCATCAGATGGATTTATGTCAAATGCACTCTGTGAAGGACAGGAATTCATTTCACCCAACCTGCATACAAATAGCATTGTGCATTTCTAGGTGTTTAACACAAAAAGCATCCATCCGCACAGCCCTGCTGACCTGAACGATAGCGTGCTGACAGAGTCTGCTTGGTGACAGGCACAATTGTTGGGATCCTAAACCACCAACTGTGCCTAGCTAAAGGTGGTAGAAAACTGGAGATGACTGCAAGTTATGTTCCCCAGTTTAGAACTACATCAATTGTCTAGGGATAGAAAATTGGTACCTGCCCAAACTGATTTCTTGCTTTGTTTTTAAACTACTGGCCCTTGCCTACTGCCTTCAAAAAGATAAAAATTAAGAAAATGGCAAATTCCTGCCAGCTCCAGCAAAACCTTCTGTACACACAGCGCCTTACACCTGGCCAAAGGCCTCAGAAAAAGGACTGAGACCAACTGAGTTTATAACCAGCCATCTACTTGCAAACATGAGATCCGCAATGTAAATTTCTACAAGCGAGGCTGGAGTTCTGACAGCAAAAAAAAAAAAAAACACCTCACTGCAGCCGACCTGAGCTCTAATGGAAGAACCCCCTCAGAGGCAGCGAGCCAGACCCTAACGGCTCGATGTAGCTTGTGGCGGCACGCTGGAGAAGCAGGGGACCAGAACAACCTCCCTCAGTGCCCTGCGGGCCGGGCTCTCCCCTCACCACCGCCCTTTCCCCCTCAGGGCCGGGCTCCCCCCTCACGAGGGCCGCCTCAGAGCCCCGGGCGCGAGCCCGCCGAGTGGTGGCGGGGCGGGGCCTCAGGGCTAAGCCCCGCTCCCCACCACCAACAGGGGCCGCAGCGCCGCCCTCGCAGCGCCCCCCAGCGGCGGAGGAGCGGTGCCCGCCTCGGACCCGCCGCCGCCGGGCGGGCACCGCGGGCAGCAGCCGGTGCCTGGCACACGCTTCCCCGCCCGTGGAGGCAGCGGGGGGGAACGTGGAGGCAGCTCGGTGCCAGCCCGCCGCTACGAGAGTCCTGGAAGAGCAAAACCGAGGAACGTTTGTTTATTTCACTCCGCTTTGTAGCGCCCATGTTCGACCGGAGATCACAGGGAAGAATAAATAAATAAATAGATAAATAAATAAATAAATACATAAATAAATTATCCACCGCCGCTTTTATCCACCGCAGCCCCGCTTTTATTCACCCGGCTCCGCGGGTCTGCGCCCCTCCTCTCGGCGGCCGGGGGCTGGCACCGGGGCTGACAGGGACGCGGGGCGCTGACTGACGGGGACCCGGGGCTGACGGAGCCCGGAGCCGCGTCTGCCTGACCGGCCCCGTCCCCGCTTCCCGCCCTCCCCTCACGCCGCAGCCCGGCCGCTGCCCGCCCCCCCCTCCCCGGGGCTGCCCTCCCTCAGCGCCTGCAGGCCCTCGGCGCTCCCCGCGGGCTCCCTCACGCACCGCAGCGGCCAAGCGGCGGCTGCCCGGCGGGGCTGGCGGCGAGGCACCGCACCGAGCGGCTCGGCGGCGCGGCCCCGCTCCTTTCAGCGCTTTTTTTTCCAGTCAGGCGCCGCGCGGGGGAGCCCCGCCGCCAGCCCGCGGCTCCGCGCCTGCGCGCCGGGCGTTAAATGGGTGCGGGGCGGGCGGCGGAAGGCCCCGGTTACGGCGGCTGAGGGGAGCCAGAGGCGGGCGAGGAGCTGAGAGGGCGCGCGAGGGGCCGGGGCCGCGTGAGGGGAGCGGAGGCGGGCGGGAGGACGGCGCCGGCCCGGGGCGCCTGAGGCGGTGGTGGAAGAGGAGGAGGAGGAGAAGGAAGGAGGAAGGGGGGTGGGGAGCGAGCACGGCGCCGCCGGGCTGCGTGAGGGGGGGAGCGGAGCCGGTGGCCGGGAGCAGGAAACGCCGCGGGCGGCGCTGAGGCCTGGAGCGGAGGGGAGCTGCCGGCGGGAGGCCCGGCGCGGTGAGGAGCGGGGGGACGGCCCCGGGACGCGGCAGGTGAGGATCCGCTGAGTCACCTGCCCCCGCCGCGCCGCTGTCCCGGGACAGGGCCTGGGCCGCGCTGCCTGCACCGGGGGGCCGCCGTTCGGCTGTCCCGGGTGCTGCTGTGCTGCTTCCCCGGGATCTTCGCGGTGGTAACGCCGTGGGGCAGGGCTGGGCTGGGCTCCGGGAGCACGGTGAATGTTGTAGGGGGTGCTGCTACAGGTTGGGGGTGGTGGTGTGTTTATTCGGTGCGTTTAAGTGCTTAGGATCTTCCTGAACGGGGAGAAAAGTGTGTCTGCTGGAAGCGGGTATCTCAGCCTGATGGTTTGTTTATTTGTTTTAATTAGGTCCATGGTCAAAGGCTTGGAAGTAGCCATGGATAAAAAAGGAGGCACAACGGAAGCTGAAAATGGTGATGCTTTCCTGGAGTTGAATAGAACTGCGACAAAATACCCGCATCGTTACACAAAAGTAAGCTGCTTCTCTTTTTCTTTTAAGAGATGTATATAGAGCTGTTGGTCTCAGAAATAAAGGGGGAGCAGAGGTTTCTGTGAGGTGGGAGCAGTAGGGTGAATTCTGAGAAGCCTTTGCATGGATTAGGATTTGCCAGATAATATAAAACGAGCAACCTGTTAAATGTGGGGTAGCTGTACAACCCACAACCCTGTCCTTGATATGCTTTTGCTTCCCACCACCTTATTTTAATAGCCAGGCACCTCAGAGCATTTGCTTGGGAGGTTATGATAGCAGCTGAAGTATGTTGTCCTACGAGCTTTCCTGAGCACTTGCATTTCATAGTCTTAGTTGGACTTTCAGCAATGTTCATTTAAGAAGCTGACCAAAATGTTTCCTTAAAGTAGATGCCACTTCCTTGGAACATACAGCACACCAGATCTTATCAGCAGCTTTAGCATGTGTCTGAGATGCTTTTCATAGTCTTAAAGTTGTTCATATTTGAGTGTTGGAAGCCTAAACACCTATGAATCTAACCAGTCCTTAATGTTAAAAACTTTAACACAGGTGCTGTAGTTCACCTGTGGTAATTATTGTTTTTCCCCTCATGCATATACCTAAGTGAGTAACTTGCAAATAAAGATCCTTTCAGCCCTGAGGAAGTTTGATATACTGTGGCATTTAAGATTCAAATTTTGTTTGCTGAAGCATGGTTTTAGAAAACTTTTTAATGATGATGGACTTTCCTGTTGCTGCAAGCTGTGGGAACAGGTGGTTATTGCTTTGTGTAGAAATCTATTGAGACACTTTACAACAAATGGCTTGAAGTGTGGAACAGAATGAAACAGTGTGCTGTTGCTGATTGTGTTATCTTGCTTGAGGAATTCTGAACTGTTAGTGTCCTAGTAGGTTGGGTTTTTTTAAGAAGAAAATTATCATTGTGACTGCTCTGCTGAGATAGCAGAGCTAGCTTGTTTTGACTAGGCATCAACAATAAGCCAAGTACTTTAGAACAGGCAAAACTTACGTGGGAACAGCATGCCTCTCCAATTCTCTCCCTCTTAAAAAAGGTGTGCATCTTAGCCTTCTAAGATGCCATGTGTAGTATGGTTCTGAACTTTTAGTTAACCCTGAAATGGAGGAGAGGTGGTGTCTTAATACTTTCACTGTTGGACAAATCAATATCTGTCTTCACAGATTTTGCTCAGCTCCTTTCAAGAGGAGTGCAGGTTCAAATTCTGACTGCTTTTTGGTCTGTGTTCAGTTAGTGCTGGTGGTAAGTGTACAAAGGAAGTGATGCAGTTGTGGATTCAGTAACTGAACTGTAGTTCTGATCAGGATAAAAGCTGGAGAATTAGTGTCAGAAAGCTCTAATAAAGGTCTCCTTTAGTTATTGGTTTCCAAGGAGTTGCAAATGAATATGAATAAACACTAGAAAACAATCTATTAAAGTATCTGAGTCATATTAAGACTCTTTCTTAAGCATAATAACTTAAATACACCTGATCATGTAATCAACATCATAAGCCACTTTCACATGATCCAGTTCCATACCATTTAAGGGTGGGAGGAACACTGCTTCAGGACATGTACTGCTGGTTTGGAGTGGGGACTGAGTTCTTTTAACAATTTATATTAACCTACTACTGGTAGGACAACAATCGGTTCACACCAAATCCTTGTAAATTGCTTGAATAGAACTGTTTAACAGGTAAAACCCCCTTTCTTCCACCTCCTTAAAAGTAGTACTGTGAGAATTTTTATTTTTTTTGAAGCAGAACAGAAGAAACAAAATAAACCATGCTGTGGCAGCAACATTCATTTACTCTTATGAGAAAATGTTATGTATTCCAGGCTGTTTCTTCTAGCTTTTTGGAAGCTGTTGCTCCACGGGTGCACAGCTCATAAATGAAAGCCAAGAAACAATTCAAACACTCCTCACTTCAATAGAAAAGTTGCAATAAATTCTGATTGGAAGTCTTTGGACTCCCTCTCGTGGCCAACAAAATAGTAAATTTCCAAGTCTGGTAATGGACCGTGCTGTTAATACTTACGTGATAGCATTACAAGGTTGATTTTCCTTGTATATCAAGGTTTATTTTGGGAGGCTGTGAGCAGGAAGGCCAGTCTTTTTATTTAAACATTTGCTGTCCTGGCTGTCTGATCTTTCTAAGAAAAATAGTTTTATTTTTTTTGCTGAAGACCTGGCTGATGCTGAAGGCAGGGAGGAAATTTGTGTGCATGTTAAGGTGTTGTTCAGCTACCAAGCTTCACCTGGAATCTTTCAAGTATCAAGTGCACGTAGCTAGTGAACTGATTTTAGTTGTGGAGGTAGTTGTGTGAAAGCTTTTGTTCAAATACTGTAATCTCAGGAGAATAGTAGAGAGATTCCCTTCTTCTGTTTGGCTGATATGTTATCTGCTGTTAGGATCTCTTTATCCTTCCTGCTTTCCACCAATTTCTGCACAGCTCTGAATCAGTTCAGTACGGCCAGGAGTGAGGCAGATTGAAGAAAGGTAATGTAAGGAAGATGAGTAAATTTAATTAGAAATGTGCATCTTTACTACAACCAAGCTTATAAGTCAAAGAATTGGTAATAACACTGTTATAATGCTTTTTTAAATGTGGCAAACTCTAGTTAAATAGTAAATTGCTAGCCTACATTAAATAATTAGGAATGTGCAGTAGTAAACTAAGGACTAGATTTGGAAGCTGGCAGAAAGAAAACCAAAATAACAATTCAGCACCAATTTGGTGTTGGGTAGAGTGGCTATATGTGATATTTTGGAATTGGGTGATGGTCAGAAATGGCAAGCTTGGCTGGAATTTCCAGATCTACTTCAGTAACTGCTGTTGTGTAATGTTTGTTTTTTTTTTACTACCTGAATCTTAGATGGAATGAAGATTGCTGTGTTTAGTGCTGTCTTAAGCTGTCTTAAACTTACTAGCTCCAATATCAATTAAGTCTGTCTTGTAAGTTGAACTGTAGAGGGAAATGGGGAAGTAAACATGTATGATGTGAGCAGCCCCTCAATTGTTAATGAGGATTGAACGTCACCTAGTAAGGCTTAGTGCTTCAAATAAGTGAATATTAAGAGTTTGTTCCTTAGATTAAAAGCAGACTTGGTTCTTCATCTAATATGGAGTAGACATGGGATGAAAATGTGAATCACTTGCTAGGCACTGCCACTACAGTGCTGTTCTACTGACTTTTGTTGCTTAAGACTGATTTTTGGTTTTCAGACTTTCTTCAGAAACAGACTTTCAGAGTCCTTCTGGTGCTAAACTGCTTAGAACTAAGTTTAAGATCTGTTTCTGTAAGTCCTATGCTGACTTGTATAAATGCTTTCACAAAAAAATACTTAACTGTTCTAATGTTTCACCAGTAAAATATTCCTTGAACATTTGAATCACTCAGATATTTCTTCTGTGTTGATATGAGTCAATCACTTGTTCTACAAAATATCAGTGTTATAGCTTAGTCTCATTCCTGATTCTCAAGCAGCCATTACATTGTCTCCAGTTTTGTAGATAGAAGTAATGGGAGGTGGGATCTATAGTTCTGATTAAAGGGTTACTATATTGCCTGAGATGGTTTGCTTAGTGGCAAAATAAACTGTCTAATGTCAACTTTTCACTGTAGTATTTAACAGGAAATAAAAACATGTTGAGAATCTGGGGTTGTCAAACTAG